TGGCCGGGCTACTTGCTAGTTAGTGGAGGTTATATCACAGCGGCTGGGCGACTTCTCCTTAAATAGACGCTTTGGTCATTCCGGGCCCTTTTCCCAGTCTACTCGTGAACTATCCCCGGACACTAGGTTGACGGTCCCGTCCGGCGGGGTCTGGTCTTGAGTTGGGTCAGACTGTTAACCTCCCCGGCCGGCCCGGGCCCTAAATCGACCTCTCGGCGCCCAGCCGATCCACTTCCGCGCAACACACCCAGCAGGGGGTCCCGACCCGAGATTCCTCTACGGTACACGGTCCAACTTACCGGCACATTGACGGTTCTCGCCCCCGGAGAGACGTGCCGGTTGCTATCGACGCCGTTGATATGCCGTTCGGCACGCGCGCGGAATCTGGGCCGTAGAAATAATGCCATTGAACAGATGGTGAACCCCCCGGCGGGCCGTACAGACTACGGTACATAGTACAGAGGCCGCCGTCACGTCTAGTGGCCCCTGGCTGATCGAGCTGTCGCGAGAAAAGTCGATCAGATGTCGACATGGATGTCGACAGCTACCGTACTCTGCCATGAGTCGGCCGGCAGTTGAGTGCCCGGTTGAGCACTGCACGGTACAGACCATTTTTGACACGGTAGCGTACCGCCGCACTGTTCACTGTAGGTACCGGTGATGTCATGCCTACGTTGCAGTTGAAACTAGTGAAGTTACATACTCTACTTTTGCCGGCTGCGACCAATCACAATTACCTAGTCCAATGGCAAGGGTCGCGCTGCCACAAGCAGAAGGATCTTTCCGGAGAGGGATCTTTTGACAGACGGCTGGGTGGTCACCATCCGAATCAAGAACTCCCCCAAAGTACCGTACCTCCTCATACGGTACTTACCTGTTTTAAGGCTAATGCTGATGTTCAAGAGTGACTCCAGAGTCCAAAGACTGCATTCCACTGAGCGCTGGCTCTCGGCTCTCTCACTGAGCTCAGTACCTATCAATGAATGGTGCGCAAAACGTAGAATTCTCCAGTAAAATCTCTAGCAGACGCTGACAACCTGATTGAAGCCGTCTCCTTGACCTGCCACCGACCCATCCTCTCAAGTGCAAAGTTTTCTCGAAGCTCTCTGGGGCCAAGGTCTCATTTCTGAGCGGCTGCAGAGCTCGCTGCAACGAGGGCCCCTCTATTAGGCAGCAGCTTCTCGCGTTCAGCGCTCCAAGCAAACCGCCTGCCGCAACCAGCGCTTCTTTCAATCGCTCGTGCTACATTCTCAGCAGGAAGAAAACATGGGTTTCGCGAGTAAGCTGAAGGCGGGCGGTCCTGCGCAGCCGCCGCAGCCACTGGTCGAAAGCAATGGCCTCCAAATGTCCGCCAGCCATGGCGCGCGGCCACAGACAGCTCTGGGACAGCTGTCCATGCCACTTCAGGGAGGGGGCTCGTTCCAACAGTATCCTGGTACGGGCCAGCATTCTCCGCTGGGACAGCAGGGGGTTCAACAGTATTCGGGGACTCAGCCTGGCAGGAGTCAGCAGCATCAAGGTGAGACCTGTTTTGATTGGGCGAGGTCAAAGTGTGGCTGTATGCCGCATGCTGTTTGCAGACCCGTGTCTAGAACATCTCCTTTGATGCAGGTCTTTGTGCTGCAGGCAATCAGCGATGCTGTCTTGTCTCTTCATCATTGTTGAGAACCAAAGGGCTCCTTGGAAGTCCTTTTACTTGTCTTTGATGTTGAGATGCGGCAGAGAAAGAAGGGTCTCTTTGTGATGTAAATCGTCTGTGAGCAAGGGGGAAGATGCTGCCTTACTGCAAAATCGCGGGAAGTTTGCGCTCTCAACCAAATCTGTTACAGCGCAACTAACCAGCTTCTATAGAGCTTCGTCTGGTAGAAAGTCATACAGCCGTAGTAATCCAGCTTGGTTGACGTTACTTTCCCCTATGTGGATTCTTGGGAAGGTCATGTGTTACACAGTTGCTTCTTTTTGCAACATTTCTGACATCATTTTCACTTTCATCTTGTCGGCATGTGTGCAGGGCACGTGCCTGGGGTCCTTGCAAGGCTGCAGAGCATCGTCCAAGTGAACGGCCTTGAGAAGTTCTACACACACCAGGCCACTCAAAGCCTGGCACAGACGATCGACAGCTCTATCAACTTCGACTTTCTTGCAGCCAGATGGGTGCCTCAAAGCTTTTGTTTCGGACTTTTCTCATGGAACAAAGCCAGTATTCTTATGGGTTGTTGCATAGAATGATCTCAAAGTCCTCTCGTCTTTGCCCTCAATCAAATGGCTAAGAAAGGTGTGGACTTTGTGGAGGGGCGCTTACGGGTGATTGCCTAGTAGCCCATCATCCAATATACTCTCAACTCATAAGCTTTCTCCGTATGGGAAGAGTTTGTCTGCGCAACCCCCCAGGGGACTGTTCTTGTCCCCTGCCTGTCGTCACTCCTACAGAACACCTTCTGAGATCTTCGCTAATGTAACATTGGGGTTGAATAACGAGCCTCCTCCTGAAATCTCCGCTTATGTAAGATTAGGGTTGAATAACAAGCCTTCTTCGTTCGCATTCCTTTTGCCTAGCAGTGACGACCAAAACCCTTCAAAATGTCTTGACGAGGGCTTATTGGGCTCGACTTCTCCCGCATTCTTCAAACCTTTCTTGCTGAAGTAACCTCAACCCAATTTTTCTCCTCAATATCACTAGGCCAGCAAACTTGCTCTCTCCCCTTCCAATTCTACACATTTTGAGCCCTCACTGGACTCGTTTGCACTTTCTTTATGCATAACTCAATCAGTGCCCACCCGCCCGGTACCACCAAACACTCGACCCTACCCATCTAGATCTTCAAGGCTCTATCTTGCCATTTGCTGTCGAAGTTGCCACCAAGTTGAAACCGTTCGAAGGAAGGTTTGGCTGCTAACCAGGTTCGCTAACCAAGGCTTTCGTCTGGTTCTTTGACCAATAACTGTTAATAGCCATTTTTGAAACCTGGTCACGGCTCGAGTCTGATTATTACACAGTTGACCACTTCGAACCAGCCCGTAACCGACTATGGTTAATCGCCAAAAGTCACTCTATTCTGCTCTCAGAAACAAGGCTTCCTCAACTTTGCCCTGTCCTACCACTGCAGTTGGGGTATGCCCAAAGAGCTGGCCATCGATCTGGCCGCCCTTGCTCTATATGACACTGTCATTTTGGTCGACGACTCTTCCTCAATGAGCTTCGAGGAGAACGGCGAGCGCATCGAAGACTTGAAAGAAATTCTAAGCAAAGTGGCGGAGGTCGCCACCCTCTTTGACCAGGACGGGATCGTCATTCGGTTTTTGAACTCGCGCTTGGAGGGCAACGGGATCCGGTAAGAAGCCTTCATTCGAGGTGCCCAAGTCGGGCCTCTTCGTGGGATTGGTCTCAGCTTGGATTGACCATATTAAACCCAAGTTATGTTGAAATGACCTGTTGGGACTTGGGGGTTATTCGGGTGGGCATGGGTGCGGAGCAAGTGGAAGTTCAGGTTCACTTTTCGGCGTTATCTTGGTTCTCACCATATGTTGAGCTCTTGAAGACACTTCGAGAGTTATATATATGTTTATCAATGGGCGGAGTTCCGGACCCTTTGGGCTATGATGCGTGATCGGGCTTGTAAATTTCTGGCGACGTTATCATGTGGGCTCGTGACCGCTGTACGAGAGACAAGCACAGCTTGAAGAGTATTCAGTCAGTAGTCCACTCGAGCATCCCTTTGACATAGCAGAACCGAAGAAGGTCGACAGGCCCTGGTGATCGGCAAAACTCCCGATGTTCAAGGGGGTCAATGGCACGGTTTTTGGCAGATCCTCTTGCTCAGGCTTTACGAACTTCTGCTCGATAAAAGTCTCGATTCAATGTAGAGTTGAATGCCCAAGTCCCCGGGCTCAAAGAAACCAAAACCCTCATCCCACAGTCAACGTGCTCCACACCCGTATCCACCCTCGTACCAACCCCACCCATCTTCTGATTGAACATACCGTGACTCAACATGAAACGAGACGACTACTACTGCTGACATCTTCTCTGTGCACAGCACTGCTAGCCCATGTCGTGATTTTGAGCATTTTGACATGCAGCAACAAGGAGGACGCCGAGAACCTTGTCAACCAGGTCCGCTTCCAGGGCTTGACGCCCCTGGCCGGCAGCATGCAACGGAACGTGCTCGACAGTCTGGTCTTCCGCTTCGCGGCCGCCGGCGAGCTGCAGAAGCCGGTTCTGGTGATCACCATAACCGACGGTGAGCCAACGGACAACCCGCGAGACGCGATCCTGCATACCATCGCGGGCGCGAAGCGCAGGCTGGCGCCGCAGTACGGGCCTAAGGCGGTGGCGTTCCAGTTTGCACAGGTACGTTAGGTTGGGGTGGTCGGATACTGCGAAACGTGTGCACCGGGGGCAATGAATCTGCAAGCTTTCGGAGCTGCAACATTCTTCTTACTGGGAGGTAAACCCAAAGACCTACTCTGTCGTCAGGGCTCTGTCAAAATCTTGTTCACCCAAAGACTGCGGATAAGCCTGGCTCTTCACAGTTCGCATTCTAGTATAAGCCGCCGTGGAAGATATACTTACCGTATCCGTTTCCTGTTGGCTTGAGTGAGTTTTAGTGGGAAACGGATTTGCTCGTGTACATGACTTCGCTTTCCAAACATGCACGGATTCGCTTGAATCGGGCAGTCAGGTAGTGGCCGACAGCCGTGCTGAAGTTGTATCTGGTTTGACGGCCCTTCAAAGGGCATGAAACACCAGCGAATCTGTCCGAAGTCTTGTACCACTACAGTTCCGCCTCAATCGGGCGCCGCTCCTGTCTGAGAAGAGAGCTTCGAAGGAAATGTTTTATGTTCAATAGCAGATGTCGTTTCCGCCTTCTCTGCCCGTTTGCACGAGGGGACTTGGCGTTCCCCCCAGTTTCTCCCCCGGTTCTCCCCTTGAAATAAGGAGGGAAGGCTCCCCTAAATTGAGCGCATTAGAAGAGAATTCCCCCGACGACTGGGGGAGACAGACACGTCAGCAGGGGCGACAGGTCTTCCCTTCTTCAAAATCCAGGAGAGAATATCCCCGGAGGAGCAAAACAGTGCTATCCCCCGGAAAAATATCGAGCGGGGAAAATGGTTTTTCCCTATTGTTCCCCTGAAAGAGTATGAATGGATGCAGATCTGTTTCTTTTCACCATGCTTTCACACTCCCTGACTTTTTCCGCTCCAGGTTGGCCGCGATCAGCGCGCGCAGGCCTTTCTCGAGAGGCTGGACAACCATCCCGAAGTTGGAGACATCATCGACTGCACGTCGTACTTCGAACTAGAGGCGGAGGAGTTCAGGAAGAAAGGCGTGGATCTGACGCCCCACTTGTGGCTGGTCAAAATGATGGTCGGCGCAATCGACCCTTCGTATGACGAGATGGACTAGAGTTTTCAACCAGTGCGATTAGCAGTATGGGTACCGCCGTAAGTTGGAGACAGTCAATGGGTTCAAAGCTCTTCGTAGAGCCTGTACATAACGAGGTCTAGGAGCCTTATTAAATGGCATGTTTGAGAGAGGGTGCTGGGTTATTTTCGACGTGTCACTTTCCGACCTATATGCGACGATCACTTGTTTGCGATATAATAGTGCGATCGGGATGCCTCAAGATACTATATGCAATTGGAAACAAGAATGACACAAGCACTAGCTGCGTGAAAGGCTTGGACCGTAAGGGGAAAAGCGTATATAAATATAGTACAGTAGTTACTGGCTGCTTGTACTCAGACTTGCCTCGTCGGACGAAATCTGGTTGGACGTTCTTGTGTCAAGGCTTTACGTGTTCAATCCTACTCTGACGGTTTATAGTATTTTTAAAATGTTTCAAGATAAGACTCACGCTGTGATATTGAGAGGACAGAGCGCCCGTTTTAAGTTCGATTCCTAATACGCAAATTGTCACGGATGACTGGTAATTGCGACTACAACGATCAACTTACTCACTTAGAATGCACAAGAAATGCATGATTTTTTCTTTCTCGTCTGACGGGGCGGACGGTGGGCTAGCAAGATCCATGTATGGCTGCGGACATTGAATTCCGGAATCACCGTACCGGATCATGCAAAGACGTCACCCATGCAAGCTCAGTAGCTCATGAGCTAGGGCATCGATGATCCCACTTATACACAGATATGATGACACGTGCTCTTTATGTAATTATAATGCAGGACCTGCACAGTTCGATCAGCTACCGCGCGCATGTTCGCGTTCAGAATTGCTCAGTACGTGCGGCCAGAAAGATGTGCGCGTTGGGATCAGGTACTAAGAACTCTAAGTTAACGGCGAGAATGATGGACTCAGTCGGTCCATGCACATATACTAATAGCCCGCGGCATATATGTATTCCACTGAGGACAAATAGTTTTAAGTGGGCCATACCGTACCAACATGAGTGACATGCATGCACTTAGGTCCGCACAACGAGTGCGACGGTACATATACCATTACCTAGATGCAACTTGCCGGGTCGATCATCTATGTTGGCCAATCCGTATCGTCTCCATTTACGACATACACTGCACACAAACAAATATGGGCCTTTACCGTTAGCCATCTGTACCATCTGTTGGCTTGCCGGCTTGACTTCGCCTAACCCCTTACGAACTGGTGCGAACGCATGTGACGTGTCTACGTCAACGAATGGATAATCACCAAAGCAGACCGCCAGATTATGATACAGTCTTTTAGATGCTCTTTAGTTGTTATCGCAGCTCGCATAGCTGTTTTTGTCCAAACCAATTAAAGCAGTGCCACAAGGAAAAACAACTCTCAGACTATCACCGACTCGTGTCCTCTCGTTGTCTCAGCCTTTGCATCCAGTCCGCAGCCTCGATGTCTTGCTCCGCCAAATCCTTCTCTGTACTGTATATCACCTTGTCTTTACTAATGACCACCTTCTCGGCCTTTTCCCTTGCATTGATAAGCTGCAAACATGAAGGCGTTTGTCAGGAAACACTTCATCTCTATCAAGGACAAGAGACTCCCAACAAAGATTCACTCACAGGAAAGTAGATTGATCGAGTTGGGTCCAGATCAGCTCTAGACTTTCTCCCTGACATGTTCACACGTGTTGACGTTAACCAAGCAAAGAGTGGCTAAGAAGGCTGGTCAAAGCTTGCAACTCCAAAGGGATCAACTGCTAACCCTACTGCCATCTGATTCTTAGTAGCAACCAAAACCAGGCACGTGATCAGCGTACAATCAAAAAACCTGACCGCATCCAATATTGCAACACTCAGATATACCCACTGACCGCTCCTTGGAACTGGCACCAGCACATGCGCTGCCGCCTTCTTCTCACGCCCCACCGGTTTTGATGTCTCATCGAAAGAAAAGGCACATCCAAAAAACGGAGAGACGGGCTGGAAAGAGCAGAGTGGGGCAGGAACCAGGACACGTGACGTCACCTTTCGTCGCAGTGGCGCGCTGGGCTGCTGGAGCTGCATAGCCCGGCTGCGGCGCGCGCTGTTTCGGCTCTCGATCTTCGCATTTTTCACCCGATTCGAGAACCAGCGGAACGCCGGAATCGCAAAGAAGGATGCCGCGTAGCCCTGCGAGAATGTGGGGACACGTGTCAGATGCATGTCACCGTTGAGTGTCAAGAGATGAGACTCAGCGTTGATCTCAAAATGTGAGAGTTCTGAAACGGCAACTAGGGGTGGCGCAAAAGACAGATGGCTTCTTCTCTTCTGAGCAGCGAACAGAGGCGGTCTCATCTTGGTTTCTCGTTTGGTTCCCTAAAATGTTGCAATTGCCGTTGCCCGGACAAATGCATAATCAGCCCAAGGCATTGAGAACTAATCCGTAACTTAATTCCGGCCCACAGTAACCGACAAACAGCTCTCGTAACCGTGGCGATGCAGCTGCCGCTGTCGTCATCTCTGATGGGCTCCAAAAGCTGGCCGTTATGTAAAAAACCTAGGTTGAGATCCCGCGTTGCAAACAGACGTGAAGTTCGAAGAAGACGTTCCGACTCGAAAAGTTTGAAGAAAAGCGAAGGTTTGACAAAAGCAGGTTCCGTTACCTGGAAGAAGGGCAGACTTTTCTGTACGAAGCCGACGAGGCCGATCCCCAGTTCTCGCGCCAGCTGCGGATTCCTGCGGACCAGGTTACTGTTGCTCGTCAGTCAGAACACTGTCCGGACTCTATGTGGCCGGTCAGCCAAAAGGTTCTTATACGCAGGCTGTTGATCATCTCGGGCCCTTCAACCTCGCACCTGAGATGTTGCTTTCCACGGAGTGTTCGATAGCTCTGATCAAGGCGGGGAGTATGATATATCGTCGAGTTCCGAGTATTCGGACAAATCGTTTGCAGACTGGCCGTGCAACATCTTGGGTGCGGATTTAAGGTGTCCAAAAGTCAGAAAAGGCCCAAAGTCAGGCATTCCCAGAAGGGATCTCATCGGAGGTCCTGTCACTACACGGTCAGAACACTGTGCAAGGCATCTTTAGACAAAAATGGCTTCGCTTCGAAAACCTCAACCTGCCACACAATTGCTAGTAAACCGTTTTCGCTTCAATCAGTCCGGATCTCGACCTACATTCTGCACGCTGTAGCTAAGCAGGTGGGTAGCTTTGGAAAATAGGTAGATTGTGGATATAGGTGAACCACCTCAAGAGAACGTCCTTGAAGCAAAGCACTGGAGATGATCGCAGAGAACATAAAAAACCCCATGTTGAAGCAACGACCTTCGCAGGCTCACCTGAGCATGCCGCTGAGAATGACCACTCCCGCCAGGTTTGCAATGCCGAGGCCTATTGCGAGGAACTTCTGACTGTCCGGAGCTTTACTGCAGAGACAAACGGTGTCGATGTTCTGAAACCGACTACAATGTGCGGATATTCAACGATCGGACTAGGACGCCAAAACGCACGAAGTCTGGGTAGCTGAAAAAGTTGCTCAATTACGGCCACGTGATCTGTGCAATCTGCATTAGATGCAGGAGCTAGCGAAACTGATCCATTGAGGCCCGACAGATTGAGGACATTGAACGTACGCAATTCAAGGGTTGAACAGTAGGTCTCAGTCACATTCCTGACCACCAAGAGGACCAGTGAAAATGAAACGCGAATAACTAGTGTGACTAATGAAGAAAAGATTCCGTATTGCAGATTATACGGACGGGATCGGTATGAAGACTCAGAGCTGAAAAACGACCACTTGTTGACAAGCAGATTCTCAGCAGCCGCAGTGTCTACTAAAGTTCGTAACGAATGGCAAATCATAACCCAGCAAACAAGAGGAGCACGAGAAACGAGCGAGCACAACATGTGACAATGAAACTGTCGCTCATCAAGAACACTATCCAAGTGATCGTTATAGCTGCCGCAGTACCAGAAGCTCACCTGAGCGACCACGTGTCCTCTTTATAGTACGCTTCCCCGTCTTGGACGTCCGCACCTTCGCTTCGCCGGAAGAGCGGCCAACCGTACAGATCCTTAGCAGTGCGTTGGAGCGCGGGGAAACGGTAGACCAGATTGCCCTGGGGACAAGAAAACAGGGTGCGGGTTTTAAAAAGACGGAACACTGACTAGTTTGTGAGACCTCTACTTCCGTTCGGCAAAGAAGCCTCCCACCGCAAATAAGCCTCCCACGCACTTGTTATTTCTTACATTGGCCTCACATCGGAAGCGCTTTGTATTCCAGAACCACGGATTGTCTAGTTGGGGGATTTGACGCTTACGGGTCCCGACCTGCAAATGGGCGCTCGTCGAAGAGCAGGTGCGCCAAAAGCCGGAATTGTCGGCAGAATGCTACCATCACAGCTTCCAAGCATCAGAGCCCTAGAGCTTGATGGAGCATGCTTGATTACGGACACACTGGTTCACAGCGCGGAGAAAACAGAACTCCTTCAGAATTTGGGGGTACTCTTGACTCCGGAACCCAAGGCGCCAAACTGTACGAACTCTAAAAACGAAGCCAAACTGCAAATAACCACCCCAACCCTGGATCCTAAACCTTAATCCTTCGACCCACACAAAAAGTTTTCACGCCCCACCTGGTCGTCAACTTCCGGCGTCCCGTCAAACCGTTGCAGTGCCGGTAATACATACGACTCATCCTCAGGCCCTTCGCCACGACCATCCGCCGGGGGGGGGTCCAGGAACGGGGCGAGCTCCTCTGCTGTCACCACCCCCCCTTTGTGCGCAATGAATCTACCAATCTCCTTCCACCGATACTCGTCCCGCCCCGCGTTCGGGTCCCCATCGCCGAAGACAAACGAAAAGACCTGGAAGAGGAAATCACAAGTTCTTGAGCACGTTATTGAAAAGGGCAGATAGGCACCAGATTGGAGAAAGAAGAGGATTCCTGTAGACTGGAAACTGTGCTTTGAAGCCGGACTCTCAAAGCAAGGTATACCCGAAATGCGGGGCCAGATTGAATATCCAGGAAACGTATCCAGGATATGGACGAAGACTTCGAGCGCAACAAATCAGGAATCAAAGTTGGCCTGAACACATCATCAATGCGAAGTCGTCCTTGCTGATGAGGCAAGCAACCAACAAGTAAGAAACAAAATGACGGACTCGTGAGAAGGATGACAGGATCTCGGAAAGAAAACCTCCTGCCAGCGTGTCTAGTCAACAAGGGTTACAGTCGGAAGAGCAACCGTACAGCCCTTGCAGTTCATGGGTCCTCGCAGCAGATTAGCATGGCACCAAACGGAACTGTTTTTTGGTCAAAACAGTTATCTCAAGAATCCTCAGCAACTGATAAACAGCCCCCTATGAAGAACCCCAAATGTCTTGAAGCTTCCATTAGCAGTCCACAAACGGAACGAAAAGAAAGAGAGGCCTCAGCCCTTGCTCCTCACAAACCCAGACAAAGCCACAGAAGCTGCAAAACTAGCACGAGAGAGCGGCCTCACCGACTCGAAAAAGTTCATGCTTCCCCCCGTTTCCCGCCGCCTGCGGTGATAGTACGGGTCCCAATACCAAAGAATGTCGCTGAGGTTGAAATATAGGCTGGGACCTTGCCGGTAGTACCCGCCTCCGTAGCTGTTTCGATTATTCCGGTTGTCTCGGTCGCTGCGGAAACGCGGGGAGGGAGTCAGCATACAAAGGGTGTGATTGGAAGACGCATGTTCTCTCAAACGTAACGGGTGTGATCCCAAAGGGGACAGGTATTGAAGCGGTCTTCGCATCTGCCTTTTGAACAGCAACGATCATAGTCTAAAGAAGTAGCCTCCCATCAGCGTCCCCGCATATCTACGTTGCCAGTCGGCGACAAATCTCCACGTTACAGAAGCTTCTCCACCGAAGGAGGCCACGAATCACACAGACGCAGCGGCTGTCAAAGGCATCTAGCGTGCGCTGCAAAATACTCACCTGCTAGAAGATGACGTGGCAAGCACCACGATGGTCGTATACACCAGCACGATCGACGCCAGGAGCGTCGTCCCGAAACTGACCCGCACCAGGTACGACCCGACCTCCTCCGCCTTCTTCAAAAAGGGCTCCGCCCGCAACTTGAAACTCTTTTGCAACAGCACGTTCCGGTAGTCCCTCGGTAAACAGAACAGGACGTCACCCTCGTTTGACACCTCCAGGTAACCGTTCGCGTCAGCGGTGAGCGCTTTGAGCGCGCTCTCGGCCTCGGAGAGCTTGAGGCCTGCCTTCGACGCGACGTCGCCGACCGTCACGCGGAGCCCGAGCTCGTCGACTGCGCGCATCGTGCTGTCGCGCACGCGGGAGTCGAGCCGGTCGATCTCTTTGCTGCTGGCAACAGACAGCGAGGAGAACGTTAGTAAGTAATGAGCATCATGTTGTCTCGCTTGCGAAGGTTCGGCCGATTCATTTCTTTGCTGCTGGAGATATGGGGCGGGCTGAGCCATAGAGAGCGTACTCAACGATCTCCTGTGTTGAACTCAGGGAGAAAATAGTTGAGAGAGATGACAGCAAGAGCAGGAAGAGTTTTGAAAGACGTATAGTTCAGGAAGCTATAAGGAGATAAAGATGATTCGTTTGGTCACCTCCTCAGCAAGGAAAAAAGGAGACCAAAGGAGCAACACAGAGCGCCTGGTGGCCCTTTGATGCGGTTAAACAATTCGATTTTTTCAGAACAGAAACGAGCCAGCACAACGAAGGTAATTACGTTAGCCACTGAAGAGGCACCGCGCTTGCGATAGCTGGAGTGCCCAGGGAGATTTAAATCTGGTGAAGGATACTTCACGGTGTTTGCGTCAAAAACTAATCTTTCAATAGTGCAGGAGAACCTGTTCAAAAGCCCGATCTGACACCCGTTCTGCTTTGAAAGTGCTGTTAAGCAAAGTCTCTGGGTCCTGCAGCCTACTTGACAAGAAAGAAGTATCTGCTCTGCCAAATGGTCGACTTGCTTTTTGTAACCTGCTGCAAACATAGAGTCAAAGCCAGTTTGCTCCTTTTCCTAGCCTCCTCCTTAGCCAGCAGGTATCCTGCACCCAGTCTTCTAATAAGCACTGCATCCCTAAAACAGTTCTGATGAGCAAAAAGGTCCACAAACTCGAGCTCGGTCACATCAACGTCCAGAAAGAGCAGAACCCTAAATTTCCCCTTACCTGCTTCCAAATTGCTTTGCAGGAGCCGGGTCCAAGCTCAGGTCATAGCCAGCCCCCCCGTCCTCCGCCCTGCACCGCACCCCCCCACCACCTTTCCTCACAAACTTGCCGCCACCGCTTCTCGTCCCCAAACCCTCAGCCGCTAATTGTTGACTCCATCCTCCTCTTTGCCGAGTACAGCCAGCGAAACAGCTATCTGAAGCAGACAATTGCTGCTCAATTGAGCGCTCCCCTCTCAACAACCGGCCTCCCCTCTGTCCCTTTCGTGTGCCTGGGTAAGTGCAACTCGTGGGAGAACGTCGTCCCAAGTTCGGAACCTTCTGCAAACCGGTTTTGTTACAAATATGCAACTCTGCTATTGGTGCAAGCGATGTGGCTCGGGAGGCCACGAGCGAGGCTGCCATGGGAGCCGCCAAGGAACCCTGCCTGCAAAAAGAAGCAAATCAGACGTGTGACACTTTTACTCCAAACAACGTCTGTACTTGCAACCTACTTGAAAAAACAAAAACCTTGAATGCGAAACAATAAATGTCAAAACCTTTTACCTTCCTCAGAACTAATGCTGCCACCAGCAGACACTCTCCAAACCATCGCAAAAATAAAGTCTATGCAAAAGTCATCGGCGTTGTGAGTCAACGTTGATAGAGAACCCTGGTACTGTAAACAATTAATTAATCAGAAGTGCTTTAAAGAGGCCCATCAAAAACCTATGAGGATGCAGACAGGAGTAGTTCAAAAGGGATCTGACCTGACAAGTGTTTCTTGACTCGCAGCGTCTCCCAAAAAGTGAAGCACTCCTTCACCAAAAAAATTGCCGCTCGTTTCAAGAATTAGGAACTTTGCAGAGGTGCAGGACAATCAGGCAGGCGAAGTGCAACAGGCGCAAATTTCCTGACAAGCAATCTAGCGTTCTCCTTGCACCCTGGCCTCACTGGACACTCTCATTGTCATCAATGAAGCGCCTTGTCACTTTTCAGAACCCTCGCTTCTCCTCCTTCCACGTCAAGCCTTGCGGAAGAAGGTTCCGCAACCCTCAGCCAGAGCCGCTACACAGTGTCAAAGGAGATCTGCTTAAGATGTTGTGAGCAGGTTGACACTAACAAAGGCTGCCACGTTGGCATCTAAAGTTTGGCATATAGCCGTCCGATTACGATAGGGATATGTTCGACGGTGAAGATGATGAAGGTGGTTTGAGCCCAAGATGCACGATGACCGTTGGACTGACCAACACACGCTCGCAAGGGTTCAGATCAACTTCTGCAGGCTTTTCTTTCGCGCCATATTTCTGAAGCTTGCCTTGCTTGTTGATCAGTTCAAGTTGCTACTACTAGCTGCACCTCAGATCAAGATCATCATGATTCATGGCGCAATTTGTTCGTCTCAAGAGCCGGAGCTGTTCGGATTATTGTGCCCTTCAAAGCATAGCTACAGAAGAAGGTATTTATTGCGCAGATGCAGAAGGGGTTCTGTAGCTTCATAATAGTTAATATCTTGTGTAGAATCTCCGGATCCACATTGCTGCAAGCCACAATCTTGCGGAAGACCCGAGTGCCCTTGTAAAGCTGGTGCTGTTGCTCTGATAGTTGCCATCGTATTTGCAGAAAGACAACAGCCAGATTTTTGTGTAGAATTAAGACCAGAATGAGTCAAAGTAAGACTGATCAAAGTGCATATGCAGCATACACGAAATTTGCTCGATTCATCACGGACAATGGGCAAACGGGATGCTGCACAAATGATTGATGAGGCTGCCACAAGCTACGATCCTCCTGATTTGAACGAGACAATAATAGGTAAGCTGCTCACCTGAGCCTTGAGAATGCAGTCCACTTTAGCATCTTTTCTCCTCAATCAACACAAGGTTTTCAAAGTCCATCATGCTTCTTCCAAGCACAGATTTACTGCAGTCCTCCCACACTGACTGGACATGGAAGCAGCATTCTTCAAGCTAGACCAGACAGATTTTGTTGTAAAAGAACGTGCCTATTATTTCCTCAAGAAAGCTCTGGAAGAACAAGTCCTTCCTTAAGGTCATGGTGTCTCCGTAGAGGCCTACGCAGAAACCGCCGGAGCTTTTGATCAGCTAGCATATGCCCGGAAAGCAGGAAGTCTGACTCTCAACCGTTGTTATAAGGTACACCTGTCAAGCATCTATTGGAGCAGGGTTAACGAGATCCTATAGTCTCGGTGACATCTGTTGTTACTAGAAGTGGTCATGAACATGCAACTTCAGGAGAACCTGTAACATACTCTAATAGGTCATCAGGCGCTCTTTTCCAATGCACCGTCGCAATCGAATCTCGTCTGTTGCATATCCACCGCTTACCTTGCCCGTTGATGAACCACAGTTCTCCTTCCTCAGGTTCCATTGATGAAGGCATCCGCACCCGACGCCAAATTGCATCCATCCTCCACCCCTTCGACCAAAACCCTCATGATCACACCCCCCCAGACACCAACCCCGAACCCTCTCAACCCAACCACAAACCCCTTAAACCCCTCTCCACGTCCCAAGTCGCTCTCCACCTCAATGCCACCTTCCCAGGGAGAGCCCCTCAGGTTAACCAGTTCCTTAACCTGCTTGGAGAACCTGGGGAACGGGGGGCGCCCATTCTAGTTTGGGGGTTCCCAAACACCGGAAAGACGTCGATTGTGCGAGGCGCGCTGCGGCTGCTGGGCCGACCTCATGCGTATGTCAGCTGCCGCTCGAGCAGCAGCCCGAGGATGATCTATGAGGGGGTGATTGAACAGCTGGCGGGTGAGGAGCGCACTGCAATTGCCGCTTCCTGTATGCAACGGTTTGTTCCTTGTACAGAGTAAGACTGGAGGGAAAGAAGCACTCCCAGGGATTCAGCGGCAGCCACCGGGCTTCATAATTTAGCACGGCTATGATTTTTTTTTTAACCTTTATTTCACATTCTGGTCTGCTTGAAACCCGCCAGCACTTGCACACAACCTGCAGGACGTGCTACTTTCCGTTCCTTTCTTTCCCTTGTCAACACCCAATGGCATTGGGCGTTTGGTCTTCATGGGTCCCTGCTTGGAACGCCCTTTTGCGGTGTTGTGTAAACACCCGTCCCATAGGGGTCCATCATGCATAAAGCTTTAAGACCATACGACCATGAGCTTTCTATTCCGGCTAAGGAAACAAGCGTTAATCCACAACTTTGCAGGCTACGTCCGTTCTGCCGCCAATGACTACGCTCCCTACGTGCGCTGCACAGACCTGTCCGACTTTGTCCAAATTCTCCGCCGGGTCTGCATAACCGCCGCGGCCAAAAACCCCAAACCTCTTCGAGGCTGCCCCCCCGCCGCCACCAAACCCCCAAACCCCACGCCGCAAAATCCCGAAACCCTCGAGGCCAGAACCCCCATAAAACCCTCCCGGCAAAGCCCGATGGACCGCTTCCCCAGCCTTTCGACCACGAACTTCGTTGTCGTTTTCGATCATGCCGAACTTCTGCGAACGGACGAGATGTCCTCCCCCTTGGCGAGCCTTGTTCCCGCGTTCTCGCGGCTCTCCGAGCTGACACGTGTCAGCAGCCTGACCGTTGTGTTCGTGAGCCGCATGTCCTGGGACGCGTTTGAAACGGGAACCGGGGAAAGGAAACCGCAGGGGGTGCATTTCCCGGACTATCTGCCGGAGCTGAAGGAGATCTTGAGCAAGGGGCGGCCGCCGTTGTACCCCGGGTTCTCGAAGTGAGTCTTGCTGACGTTGCAAACCGGTATTTTCCAGCTTCAGAGTGAGTACCAGTCAAGAAATGCGAGCTGTGGCTGTTGAGCAATCAGTGATATCCTGTGGCAAGGTTTTGGACAATCCTCTTAATGTGCCGAAAAGGATAAAGAGTGCTTGGATCGCTTGGATTGCTTGTATGCATTTTTGTCTTAGATCACTTCCGAAAGGAAGTGGGCTGCGCTAAAGAACAGAGTTCTAACGGATGCCCGCCCTTTTCGGGTGGTTGCCTGTATAATAAGTCGGCCCACCAGCGAAGCTGGAAAGAGCGCAGAGCTGTCAGAGGGTGTAAGAGGCGACGTGGAACTTCGCGCTCGGCCCGGATGTTACATCTCGAGGTTTCGGTTCGAGAGATCCGAAGAACAATTGAATGTCAGGAGCGCGCAGGCAAAGCAACGCACAGGAGAAAAGAGTCGGCTTTTCCACCGGCTTGGCGATGCGACTATACACCCCTCTTTCGCAAGCTCAACCCCACAAACTTCGTTCTGTGCCCCCCCCTGTTCTGTTCCCTATAGCCCCCCCTCTCAGGTTGATTCACACGTCCCCTCCGCACCCCCCCCTATGGTACAGGATGGTCCTCCCCCCCTCCGCGCGCATCACCCGCTGGCTGACTCAGCTAGACGCGTCGATGGAACCGCTCTTTCGCAAGTACCTGGAACCGATCGACCAGGGCAAAGTCGAGCGCGCGCAGGCGGCCACCGAGACGGGGGGCCGCCGCCTCTACGCCACCCTCCTCCCCCACCTGCGGGCCGCCATGGGGAGTGACGTCAGCTTCGCGGGGGCTTTTGACGTCAGCAGGGGTGACGTCGGCCGGGATGACGTCGGTACCGGGGCGGAGTTCGAGATGAGCGGAGCGTGCAGGTTGTTGCTGATTGCGGCGTTCGTAGCGTCGCGGAACCCGGCGTCGTTGGATAGCGCGTATTTGGACGATGAAGAGGGGGGGCGGAAAAAGAAGCGGCGACGGAAGTCGGGGGGGGTGTCGGAGCAGGTCAGGAGGGATGTCGAGGTGAGGGGGTGCTGAGAATCTGGTGGCTGTTCTGCGGGATGCAGATTTCCAAGCCGGTCTTTTTCCAGAAAAGCGGTGATTCGGAGTGAGTGGTTCATCAGCTTGGAGGCGGTAGGAATCTGTGTGTGCATTGCGCGAGCGTCGGTATTAGAGTTACTCATGGATGCGGCAAGCGAACGGCCGTACAAGAAAGGTGCGGTCTCCGTATAGGTATCGGTGTCGTTCCCTGTTGCTTCTCCTTGAAAAGGTATGGAACACAGAGAGCGCCAAAGCGCCGAAGCTTTGTGCTTAAGCGCACAGTTCTCTTCCAACGATCCTACAAGGGGCGTTTGTTTCAGTTGCACCGAGTCCCCAAAGCAAGGCACACAAGCATTGACCGAGCGGCTAGGTATTCCATCTCACTTGCACCCCTTTGTTCCGTTTCCGTTTCCGTTTCCATTTCCATCTCCGTTGGTCCAGGTCCCACGGGCAGCCCCTGCGGTAAGATTCACGCCCTATCATACGATTGCTCGCTGACGGACCAATCGGAGTACTACTTGTCTAGGTCCGGCATGTGCCGTCTCTTGACACGTGTCCTGCCGTGACAGGTCGAGGAGGAGCACCTCCGCGGCCCGCTCTCGTTCCCAATCGAGCGCTTGGCGGCGATTTTCCACTGCATAGCCCGAGACTATTTACACGTCGCCGCAAGCGCCGGTTCCGTTCCGGGGAGGGAGGATTCGGGGGTGATGCACCGGCAATTGCTGACGTTACTGGGGGTCGGGCTGGTGTCCAAAACGGGGGGGGATCCGATCGAGGGGGGTGCCAAGTACCGGTGCAACGCGAGCAAGGAGCTAGCGGAAAAGGTCGGGTTCTTGCTTCCTTCTTTCCTTTCCTTCCCTTTTCCTCCTCCATTTTTCCTTCTTGTTTTTTGCCGTTTTCCCCTTCTCTCGCACGAGAGGAAGGGGGACATGCCCCACCCGCTGAAAACATAGGGAACCAACGATTGCAACGGGGGGAAAAGCTCATTCCTGGCCGTTTCTACGCCTCAGAATGTTGTTTCAAGAGAGATATGCATCAGGGAGGTTCGCCCACGTTGGCTTTGCGTAAGACGAACGAGGAGCTTTTGTGATGCAGTGATTTTTCATCGTGTCTCTTTGAATCCGGTGTCGTAGCAAAGGCATCTCAGCATCTTCATGTTGTGACGAAATCGATGCTCAAATCCCATCGCACTGACAGAGTCCAGCGAGAACGTCAAGGCGAGGAGCCAGCAGTATGTAACAACCAGCTCTTGATAAATGCTTGTCCTGGCTTTTGCAGATTGCGCGAAGCGTCAGGTTTCCGCTAGCTAGCTACCTGCTGCACGGATGAAGACTTGTTTGCGCTGATCACATTAACCGTTTGGGTCTCACTACAGCGATTAGAGTATGCGCACGCTGATTGGTCCACTATTGGCACATGGGTCCGCTGGAAAGGAAGTGTGAAGTGAGTACCACCACGAAAGTGACACGTCAGCAATTACACTAACTTGTTGCAAGAACGCATTCATTCCCCGTGATCGTCGGCAACGTCTCTAACTTTGAGGTTCGCTGCTTGGTGCGCAATCGCACCGTGCATTGGTGAAAGCTTTGTACGCACTTAACAATGTTGATGCAAATTTAAGAAACTGACACGCCCGTGTCAGATCTGAAACCTCCCAGTACGCAAGGAAGGAACGCCAGCCTGTTCATTACTTCTACGTTACTCCTATTCAGGCCCAGCACTTTTACCTTGGGGGATATTTCTGAGCAGATTGCATAGATAATTGTCGCACACCACGGGGCGCGGGCGCAGCTCCCATCCAGGATCATTGTACAGTCAGGTTCCACTGCCGATACCATATCCTGTGCATGCCAGTCAAGTGACACGAGAAGCCTGAGAGCAACCTATCAACAATATATCGGGCTATATGCCACGTCGTTTTAGTTGAAGCCAAGCGCGAGAGCGGAAGCTTGTCAACGGCGGCCTTATAAGCATGCCAATGCACACTACATAATTGGACTAATTGGATCATTGGCGCTTCCGTATGACACGAAGGCCTACAGCAAGTAAGGCGCCGCCCGGGATAGACGCCGATTCGGCGAGTGTATCATCATTGCATACGGTGTAAGTGCTTGCATCTTGATTGAATTTCAATCATTCAATTTATCATAATACTTGCAAGCTGCGGGGAACTGGATTGGATTGAAACTTCTCACGGCAATATCATAACATGGCACTCGCGAGCGTCAGTGCAGCCAATTTATATTTGGACAGCATGACTCACACAGTAGCGCTGGGTACGTCCGACCAGAGGATTCAGCAGGCTGAGTCTCGATCGTACGTTGACTTCATACGCAAGCTATCATATCAATATGATAAAAATCGACAGTGGTTACCTCTTATTCGACTTGCAAGCGCTGGTCTGAACGTCGAGCGCAAGAGCCTGCGGCCGGCCACATGCACTATTTCGAATCAGTCCGATCGCTTGCCGCTGGATGGTTCGCGGGCTGAAGTCGGACCACAGACTCAGTCAAGATCGTCACAGCGCTGAGCAGCTGCGCATGCTGCACGGTAGCGCGGCTGCCACTGAATACTGATCGGAACAATGAACCGGACCCCAGATAAGCTCAGTGATTATGAACGCATTTTGCAGATTGGTGGCTAGATCTTTCAATAAAGCTAGCTTGAATCCTTTTGAATCTGACCGTTATCGTACACCATACCCCACTATCAGAATCCAAAGGTGTTTGTTTCCTTCGAAACATTGCCCCAGCTACGTAATAGTAGACTAGAGGGCTGTCAACACGCTGCTCTAACTTACTAGCTTGCATAAACTCATAGGAGATCCACCTGCAGCTGGCCGGTGGCTATTGTCTCCAATTACTCTAAAAACACTAAAAAAAATCTACGAACTATTGTCAGAGACGCATCTTCGCGCTCAGATCAGATATTTCGAGAGTGCCCTGAGATGTGTTATGACCAGATTGCTTTCTACCTTACCGTCTTTATCTAACGTCAACTACTACCGTCACATAAATTTCATACTTGCATCCCCATACAAGCAGAGGTGACTGTCAAAAACCTAAACACGGTTCTTCGAAGTACACAACTAGGGGCATAGGTGCCCTTCTCTTCCAGGAGCTCACACTAAGCTAAACCCTTTTGGTGTTTCGTCCACGTCACTTTCCATCTCATCTAGATTACATCGAACCATTTAACGAACGCCTGGCCCTTTGGCCGAGATTTGAGATGCACACACATGGAGAGAAGTTTTTCCAGCACCGACTTCTGTATGGGCTTTGACAAATAGGACACCTGCAGAAAAGAGGGTTCGAGTCAGCGACTTTGTGGGCACTACAGCTTCAATGATCCCCACGTGATCTTGCTTCATCCGAGGTGAAGCTTTCTTTCAGCGGTAAGCTACTAATCAAGGAAGTGTCCAGCAAGTAACCCTTTGTGACAGCCCATCGACGGGAAACAAACGAGAGCACATGTAGTTTTCCAAAGCAGGATGTTGACGGGGAACACAATGTTCTCGCACGAGCTTCCGACGACCAGAATAATATTAGCCCTTCCGACGCAGTTGGCAATAGCTTTCCATTCTCGGGCACTTGCGATCCATCATCAAAAGGGTTAGCTTTCGGATTGCCCTCAGAAGCATCGATCCGTGCAGATCCGCAAAAGTAATCAAAGAATCAATGTGGTAGTCTAGGCATGAGCTCACCATGCCGGATTCGCGGCACTCCTTCTGAATGTCGGGCCCAACGTCGGCCGTCAGAGCAACCACAAGAGGCCGTCGATCCTCGGGATAGAGCGCCTGCAACAAGAAACAAGATTAAGTCTTTAGGTTTTCGGTTTCTAGGACTTGTGAAATCCTGGGGTTGTCCGGCAACTTGCTCGTAAATTAGAATCAAAAAAGAATCGAGTCGAGTATCAGTTTATAAGGAAGAGTACACCGAACGGAATATCATCATTTGTTTCCCATCAAAGTCGTGCGAAGCGGTCAGCTTGGTATTAAAGGGTTTGAGAAAGACGTCAGAAAAAGGGTTAACTTAACCCGTCCGGTCGCAACCCCAATACCCAAACCGGGCCGACACAGTCAGCCCGTCCACCCCCGGCGTCCGGACGTCCCTCTGTGATGTAGAGAACCTCAAGAAAGTGCAACATAACCTTTAACCCGACCAGAAACACCTTCTTAACCCGAAGAGGACGTAATGGTCGCGTTCCTTACCCGGTTCCGCGCCGGCGCAAGTCAGCCCGTCCGTTTCCGGCATCTGGACGTCCATAAAAATGTAGGAAACAGAGAAAGGGCTAGCACAACCTTCTTAACCCGACCAGAGAGTACCTTCTTGACCCAAAAATAAAAGGTCGCGATTCTTACCCATACCCGCGCCGACGCAGTCAGCCCGTCCATTTTCGGCGCCTGGACGTCCATTGGAAGTCTAAGAAACCTCAAGAAGGGCTAACACAACCTCTTAACCCGACCAGGAGATACCTTCTTCACCCAAAATAAAATGTTGCATTCCTTACCCGAATCCGCGCCGATGCGGTTAACCCGTCCATTTCCGGCATCTGCACGTCCATCAGAACGACGTCCGCCGGCCCCTCTTGCAACAGCTTCAGCAGCTTGAGCCCCGTCCCCGCAGTGCGCACGTCTTCGTACCCGGACGATTTCAAGAGCTTGGTCAAGACCTGGTGGGAAGAGAAGAGGCCATCTGTCAGAACGGGCGGAGCACGCGGACCAATACTTTGGGAGAGCACACTCTTGAAAAGGGACACTGACCGCTTACGTGGATCCAGAGTTTCGAGTGTTGTTGGGTAAACGCCAAGCCGAAGGTTGGAAACCTTTTGCAGGAAGTCGGAGCGAACGCCGAACCGGAACCAAAACGAACCCGAACCCGACCTCAAGAAGTTCCTTTTATGAAGTTCAAGAGACCCATGTCAAGGCCGGCAAAGAACGCACCAGGATGAGCGGTCCGACTAAGCATCTCTAACAGAGGGATTGAAGGCCAAATCAAGCTACGAGTCTGCACCCCAAGCAAAACAGACTCAACCTTCGTAAGGAAAGGTGTGCGAGAATAAAATCGGCATGTACCTGTTGGTTGACCGGGTTATCTTCCGCGATGCAGATGCGCAGCGACGAGTCCTTCCCTGCGTCGCTGAGTGCGGCCGCTGCGTTGCTGGCCGTGATGGGCGTCTTAGGCTTCAGGTTTGCGATGAGAGCGAGGAGTGCGGCGTAGAACGCGTTGATCCGGACCGGGCGCGAAAGAACCGTCACACCATTCTGCGGAGAAAAGGATGGCGATTAGAGCCGAGAGACTTTGGGGTTACAGAGAGGAAATCTGAACCAGGTGGGCGATGAGAGCAAGAACTGCGGCGTAGAACGCGTTGATCCGGACTGGCGCGAAAGAACCGTCACAACATTCTGCGGAGAAAAGGATGGCGGTTAGAGCCGGGAGACTTTGGGGTTAGAGAGAAAAAATCTGAACCAGGGGGGCGATGAGAGCGAGGAGAGCGGCGGCGTACAACGCGTTGATCCGGACCGGACGCGACAGAACCGTCACACCGTTCTGCAGAAAAGGACTGTGGTCAGAGGGGAAAGAGTGTGGATAGGGAGGAAACAGACTCGAATTAAGGAGGGAAAAGAGGAAAGAGACTGCGGCTGGGGAGAAGTCCGTCAATGGGTTAAACCTTTCCCCCCCACTTCCCATGGGAGGGGGAACTCCTTGGAATTGTAATCAAGCACGTGCTGAAGCAGAGCAGCCGCGAAAGCCCAGTCGCGAGTTTTTGTAAAAGACAAGGAGCAGACGGTCAAGTTGAGGTTTGTGATCGGAAGAAGAGGTCTATCTTTTTGGCGGAGAACGGAGGCTCTGATATCACCGCACCAAAATACCGGTCCACGTTATTGAAGGATGGGAACAAGCCAGAAGAAATTGCACAAGAGTCCTGCGCATCTCAAGTTGCAACTAAGTCCAGCGGCTCTCACTTGAAGCACTTAACTGAGCGTGCGAGCCCAGAACTTAGCAGCAGGCATGGCATCCGTAAGGAGAATCGAGTTGGTTGAATTGCCCGAAGGTTGCTGCTTCCAACAACTTTCGAAACTCCCAAGAGAACCGAGAGCTCTAAGAATGTTGTAAATCGAAAGGACTTCAGGAATACTGTCTGCTCACGATTGCTTTTGAGCCCGCCAGCAGCTCCTGCTCATGCTTCGTCGCCAGGAGCACCGTCGGCACTTTCGCGCCGCACTCGCACCCCAGTCGCATCAGCTCCGTCGCTCGCTCCCGCTTTGCCGGATCCTCGCCCTCAGTTGAACACACCATGCTATCGACGATGACCACATCGAACGGACCGCCGACCGACAGCTTTAGAGATGGCAGCCGTCGCAGGATCGCCCTGTCGTCCCCTGATTCCCCGCCGCTTTCTTTGGAGTCTCCTCCAACGCGCTCGGTTGAGCAAACCGCTCCGGCTAACCCCGAAGCTCCCGCGGTTTTGGGCATTGCCGCATCACGCAGCGGCGCATCGCTTTCAAAGTCCGTTGAGTGCGCGAACTGGAACGCTTCTTCCAGCGCCTCTCGCTCCGTGTCCTCCTCCGGCCACGCGAAGCCCTCCCGTGCGCGCATCCCCTCACCCGTCGGACTGATCTCCGGCAAACCCGGTGGGGTTTCTCCCAAACCCGTTCCCAAACCCGCCCCGTCCATCTTCTTCCTCAGCTCTTCGGTGGTCCGCGCAAACTCCACCTCTACCCCCCAGGACGATACGACTGACGTCACCATCTTCTGGAACGACTCGTTCGCGCCCACTAAGAGCGCACGGCTCCCGGTCAGGGGAGTCGGCGGTTTTCCCGGGGGGAGGTTAGCGATAACTCTAGGTTCGCCCTGGGTTTCGATGTCAGAGCCGTGGACGCGGATCGAGAAGAAGAACGTGCTCCCGACGCCTTCGGTGCTTTCGACCCACATCCGGCCGCCCATGCACTCGACCAGCTCTTTGCAGATTGCCAGGCCCAGGCCGGTGCCTGCGGAAACGGTCAGAAGTCCTAATCAGTCTTCTTGGTCTGAGAAAGAGCTCTTTGCTGCTTCTTGGATCAACGCTCAAAAGATGAACAACTAGAGGGGGGTCAAAGTTCGTATCCAGATCTCGCGGTAGAAGTTGACGTGTAACGACCGCCTTTGAATGTTGCCAGGGTGAGGCTGCTGCCTAGTCAGACAACGACTGGTAATGCTAGTGTTCAATCGAGACCAGAGTCTTTTCTAATGCTCAAAAAGGAGGAACAAGAGAGGCCAGACCCCTTCCCGCAACCCAGGTCCAGTCGCCAAACAGACACCAGCCACACCCTGAATTCAGAAGCGTGTATCGATGGAAGTGGCAATGAGAACGATTTCCAAAAACGGTCAACCCTCACCTTCGTATCGCTTGGTCCGTGCATTGTCGCACTGCGTGAACGCCTCAAACAACACCGCCTGGAACGCTTTCGGCATCCCGATCCCCGTATCGCGCACCGCGAAAGTGACGTCATACGCCGGCAGTTCCTCGTGCGGGGGCGGGGAGGCCCGCGGCGAGTCCGTCTCGCTCTCGGGGGCTGGGTTGCCTGGCCGCCGGCAGAGTTTAGCACTAACCGTCATCTCGATCTGTCCCCCCTCGTTCGTGAACTTGGCGGAGTTACTGAGGAGGTTGGTGATGATCTGGCGAATCCGGATCTCGTCCGCCCAGATCCAACTGCAGGGAGACACAAAAACAGTGGGTTAGGGCGAGAGGACTTGTGGTTAAGAGACGGGCTGAGGAGAATTGGGTTAACTTACAGGTTGGGAAGGTAACGATAAGGGGTTAAATTTCGTCCGCCTGCCGGACGTTTCGACGGCTGGGTTGGACCTGACCGTACGAAAGGTCAAAACCTTCGTTCTCTCCCATGGGATCAACAACTCACTTTCAGAAAGACTTAATAGAGACGCAACTGCTATTGATTCACATCCTACTTCTGAAACTAGGGTGTTGAAATATGCGTCTTGGTATTCAGGATTTAGGGTTGGCTAAGCAAGTCAGTCCTCACTTGGGCACGTTGGGGTCCATAGAGTAGGAGAGGTCGAGCCCCTTGTGTTCGCATTTGAGCACAACCATCTCCATGCAGAAGTCGAGGCAACCCCACAGGTTGAACTCGCGCTGAGTCATCTTCATCTTCTTTGCGTCCAACTGCAAAGAAAATAACATGGAAATGTTAAAAGGACCGCTATAGCTGCAGATTCCTGATTCGAAAGGGGAGCACAACAAAGTTGCACTCTTGCAATCTCTGCATCTGCCTAAAAGTGGAGATTGTTTGGTTGGAAGCTCGAGTTTGAGGATGGGGACGGGGGAAGCAACGACGTTGCGAGCTGAGCACGAACGAAAAGATGACTGTGTAGCGGTCATCCACGGAAAATTAAGTAAGAGGAACCTGCGTAAGGAGAGGATGCCGAGCCGCAGGTGTGACGATGCCTGTCCATTGTTTGGGTAGAACTGTTTGTGTCTCCGTACCGGACGGCGGAGCACTCTTTGAAGACTGATGGATTTGAAGGATTGTGATTTGACCACTTCGAGATGACTTAGTCAACACAAATCAAGGACGCAAGTTCAGCAAAAGCAAAGCGATGCAGTTTGCTGGCATCTTCTGCGAGTTCCCCGAAGTTCTGCCTTACCTTGCTGTAGTCGAGGATGTCGTTGATCAGCGCCAGCAGCTGTTGCCCAGAGCCGTTGATCATTTGTGCCAGCTCCCGCTGTGCGTCCGATAGCTGGGCCGACTCCTGAAGACGAAAAGGGTTCATTCAGTTGAGCGACTGTTGTTAACGAGCAGAGTGGGAACCAACAGACTGGGTACAAAAGTAACGAGCAAAAGAGGCCCATGTCTGAGGAGTGGTGAAACGTGACAGAGGTCATCTCCCACAGACCGGACAGATGGAGTGGATCAGGAACCAGACAACGTCGCCTTTCGTGAAAGTTTTGTTATCAACAACCAAACCCGCTGCTTCTCTCAAACAGTTCGCTTATAGGATCAAGCAAGTTGTGTAACGACAAGAAATCAAAAGCGGCTGAAAAAGGAAGTTTTTCAGGTACTGCAGTCAGAGGCAGGAAGGAAACCGGATCGTGGACGGAGATTGCTTACCTGCAGCAACTGGCTGCATGCAATGATGGCGTTCATAGGCCTGCAAGAAGTGTCATGAAGCTGTAAGGGTGCGCGTCGACCGAAAAGGTGCAAAAGAGCTTTCCAGATTCTCAGCCAATCGGATGGCTTTTCAGATCCACGTGGTAGCCAACGGTACATACCAGAGGAGTAGTATGGCTTGAAAAGTACCGTACCTCCTACCTATCGGTACTATAAAGGCAACACTGGAGGCCAAGAAAATTGCGCTAGACGCACAACCTAAGTATCACCAGTGACGCATAGGGTCGGGTTTGAAAAGTCTGCTGACTGGCATAAGTCTTACGATTCTCAGAAACTAGACCTGAGCCAAGGTCCTGATTGTCTGACATAGCCAGACGACAGGATCTGTCGCAAAAGCAATCTTGCGGATCCTAAGGGATAGAACCCCTTGCAGAACATCAAAAGCGGTGTCGAAGAAGTTGAAAGGACACACTCTCCGGTCATTCAGCCTCCAGAGTGTCGAGGCCTTACGTGCGTATGGAACCGGACTGCGTTTCACTGCGTTTCACTGCGTTCTGGTTCCGGGACTCAACAAGCAAGCGGCAAAACAGAGAAAGCCCTTACGTCCTGATCTCGTGGCTGACGTTGGTGACGAAGGAGCGTTTGGCTCGCATAGCGGCCTCGATCTCCATCTCCCGGATGCGCCGCGTCTCTAGTTCCAGCTCCTTCTCTTTGCGGACGGTGCAATCGGACAGGATGCCGTAATAGTATCTGAGATTGGAACGGACTGGAGCGTCAGAAACGATTCTGTCATGGACAGAGGAGTCACATCTGACATCTTTCGTCCTGAATCTCATTCGGAGCTTTTTTGAGAAGTATAGTTGCAAAATGGAGTCCTCTGCTAATGACGGGGATACTGCATCAATTAAAAAGGATGACACCTAGAGTTCCTTCAGTCTGGCAGCCTCGAGCCCTCTGAAGGAGTGGCCTCCTATGATTGGACCACGAGCTCTCACTCGAGTCAGTAAGGAAAAACATGACGGACCATGCAGATTTCCCGACACGCTCAGAGATAAATTCCTCGCAAAAGGTCATTCAATGATCCAATCGCGCATGCGGCAGCTGTCATTTGCACTTCAAAGAACCTGCTGCGCACATGATACTCCATCCAGTAGCCAACTCCTATCCGGTGACTCTGATCGCAGCCAAACACGGATCGTGGCACGTCTCCTCAAGATTCCCTCACTTGCTGTCCGGCTTTGGCGCTCCATCGCCCGCAAAGATCGCCTTGTCGTGTACGGGCCGCATGCGCAACCAGTTCCAGAAAGGCGTGCCGTCCTTGCAGTAGTTCCGAATTTCCACCGACGCCTCGATGCCAAGCTCGCACGCTTTCTGTAATGCGTCCACGTCTTTCTGCTCCGTCAGCGGACCCTGCAAAGGTAAGCCGTGGCATGATCAGAAGAGTGGTCGTTTCAGAATGTCAACTGACAATGGCGTTCGTTTCGGTATTTTGGTGAATCATTTCAATTGGCATTCTGGAAACGATTATAGCAGGAAGGCTTCGTTTTGACACAAGTCTGCCTCTTAGAAAGACTCTCGGTGAAAAATACCTTTCAATCAGCTTTCCGCTGCTTCTTTTTGAACATCAAATCGGTGAGAATCATTTTTGTCCTTAGTTTCTGTTTTCGACTACGTCATCTCGGACCGAATCACTGTGCCGACAGCTCCACAGAGACAACTTTTTCTCGTTGCTCAAATGCCTACAGCTTCTGTTGCCGAAAGCCTTCCCTTACCTGCAATAACGTGCTGGACGGTTGCCCAATAACCTCCTGCAACGTGTAGCCGGTGATCTTCTCCCAGCCCTCATTTGCAAAGACGATCGGTTGGCCTGGAGATGCGGCGTCGCAGAGCACGAGCCCTTCGCTAAACGCGTCTGCGCAACATTAGAGAAGGATGTATTCAGTCACTTTGACATGACGTTTGGCGTGCTATTATAACGCAGTAACAGATTCTAACCTCTTTATTGCTGTACCAATCCTGGTAAATGACCCTAGATTGAAAGGTTGAACGAGAGTGATGCAAACCGAGTTTCTTCAGATCATAAGGACCACTTGGGATCCGGTTCTTCGAAGGGTACAGGCGGAAGTATATGCGAAAATAGAAACGTCTGCCAGTGATTGGCACATTCAAGTCTTGATCGCAGCCCGCCAATATCCAGCCTGATCGAATCAGAAGCAAAACGGCATAGAAAGGTAGCAGTTCTAGGAGACAAAACAGTATCACGCAGAGAATGGGTCATGGGAAGCAAGAAACGCACCTATGGCTTGAAGCAGGCCCCGCTTGTCCTGGTCGAAGCGCTCCGTCTGGAGCCGCTGCAATTCCTTGGCCTTAGTATTCTTCTCGATCTCCTGCAGAAGAGGAGAGTTACACACACAGGTGAGGCCAATTCAAGTCACCATCTGACGGCGGAGGCATTTTGAGCGACTTACCGAGCCTTGATGTTCTTCTTCTCCGTGAAGCTGGCCAGTTAGATCCTGAAAAGCGTTGGCGATGCGGGCATGGGCCTTAATGAATCGGCTTTCTCAAAGGTACCGTCCGAAGTTGCGGTGACGAAGCTTGAATTGATAAGCAGTGACTCTGCTCATAGCCCCTGCGTTCTTCGGGTCTTCTAAGGTTCCCCACGTCCAACATGCGGGATGGTCGATCCCCTTTCTAATAAACCCATAACGGAGTTAGAGACTTGAGCGCATCATGTGCAGCAAAGGGTTAGAGACTAGAGCGCATGAGCGTACGCCAAGCAGGGCTCTCCAGTATACAAAAGGGCTTGCCAATCTCGTCGATTCCAATCTAGAAACCTTGAACGTACCATGACTACCAGTTTCGAGAGTGCCAGCAGCATCTCTTGTTCCGCCTTGGTGAACACCTTTGGCTGGAAGTCGAGGACGCACCTGCAAAACAAGCGGAACGCATCCGCTTAGCATCACATGAGTTCGTTATCCGATGCGGAAATCCTCCGTGCTGGACTTCTTTTGTGAACCTCTGCTTGCTTAGTGGATCCTCCAAACTTCGACAAGATTCATAGGGGTCTCTTCTGCCTGCTATCTCATTTTGCAAGAATCCACGCAGGCTGCTGTCAAGATGCAAGCACCAGGATCCAATTACTCACAGAGTCCCAATGATGTAACCGCCTTCCGTCAGGAGGGGCGCGCCGCAGTAGAATCGAAACTTGGGGCCCCCGACGACCTGTAACGACAAAAACAAATGCTTGTCGATATGCTTCCCTTGTGACAAGGCAGGATCGCAAAGCTGAGCCCTCCCTCTGCAAGATGCATGAGTGAACTTAAAGCTGTTGCCTCGAGTGGTTGACCATGGGTTTGTCGGGGATAACAGGTTAGCGTCATGATTGCAAGCGGGCCTGGAAGGCGGCGACCCAAGAAAGGAAGAACCTCAAGACACAACAGCAGCAAAGTTACTTATGTCTGAGGAAGTCAGCAGCAACCTGAATCTAGGATGAGGACTCACTGCAGCAAGAAGATTGAAGCAGAGATCTCATTTGGATGGAGAATGATCTTGTGATGCAGACGGGATCCCGGTGCAGAAGTCGGACCAAGACTCGGATCAGGCCCATGGCAGATGGCTCACCAGATTGTTCTTGTGGAACCTGCCGTCTTTGAGCAAATCCGGCACAATCAGCAACGGATCCTTCCTGTACAATTGAAACGGAACCCCTTGAACCAGACGTTTGGCGAGAGTATTGCCCTAGGAATAGAATGCAAGAAGGTCAATCGAGGAGGGGCAAAGACTCACAGAGGGAGACATACATTTGCACAAAACAGACACAGTAGACGTCCCTGTAGGCCAAGAGAGGGGCGTCCAGATGCTGGGGGCACAGTGAATGAGCTCGAAGGTCATAAGTAGGATTTCAAACCACAAGACAAGAAAAAGGGACTGGAGTGATCGTACTCACGAGGGCAGAACTGTGTAGGCACAGAAGGCGTCTTCCCGATTGATTGTTGTGCAACCCAATCCATGATGCGACTTGAAGAAGGCACGCTCGGCATCCAGCAGGGACACGAGCGCCACTGGAGTCTGCAGAATTTAGCAGACAAAGTTAGTCAGATTACAGTTTGTTTCTCAGAGCTTTGAGGCTCCTCCATGAAGGAAAGTCTCTTCATCTGATGTCCTTGAATATCTGATACTCTTGCAACATTGCAGATCCACGGAAGGAGGGAATAGAAACAGCAAGCATAGTGCAATGAGGATGGAATCTTCTTCGTTTTAAGACCAAAATGCATGGCGATCCATTCTTAAGAGAGGGTGTCTCCCAGACCAGTGACTCCTTCCTTGTGAGGCTCACCTTGAAGATCATCGACGCCAGTTCTGTCAGGCGATCATACCTTGCCTCAGGCTCCTGCAACAAGTGGGCCCCGCCCTTTAGACGTGTGGGGGCCAAACTAAGGGGTGTGCACATCTTTCAACCACAGCTGGTACAGTCTCTCAGGGCCAGACAGTACAATTGCAGCTCTGTTTGATAGCTTATCGGACACAGAGCGTCTAACCATGTAAAAGCACGAGGATTCAAGGGCACACAACATCAGCAATGTTGGCAACACCTACTCCTTGTAGAATCTGCCATAAGATCTGCCAAGGAAGAATGAGTTGCAAGAACGTGCACCCAAAATCAAGCACGCCTTACGGTGTCCATGATGTTGTAGCTCCGTAGGACCTGCAGTCTGAACTGCTCGTTGCAAGGCCTAGGTGCACCCTGCAAACAACGACCACTGTTAATGTTCCCTTCCAAACGGATGCTTCGATGGCATCTAAGTCTGCCATACAAGTAGTTGAGCAATCTGAATTGGTTCCACGAAAGAGTTCTACAGAGATTAGTCGTGAACAGCATTTTGCTACACGGTCCGTGTTGGAGCACACTCCAAGTTCGTGCTCACAACCTCGTAGCCAGAGGAGTATGTAGCACTTGACAGCTAAATGGTGCTGTCATAGCTGGGAACCTCTAGGCGGCTTATGCATTCCCCAAGGCCTTTCCCAAGTCCCCCTGACTGACTGAATCGTACAGCAGTAAACTCCGATCTCTATGGCAAGCCTTATGCAATCACAGTCTAACCTGCCAAAGCCTTCCCCAATCAAGGGTGGAGCATCACAGGCCACAAAGCAAGCTTGAATTTGGCAACGTCACTGATCGCTCCTCGTGGCGTACCTTTGGATCAAACATCGAGGTGGGGCCCGGCCGCAGCATAAAGACCTTCTCAGGATACCAGGGGTAGTAGTGCTTGTCTACCCTCCTGTCTGGCAGCGTGAGCTCCTCCAATTCCAGCGAGTTTTCGTCAATGACTACGTCTGAATACTCCAGAGACTTGCGGCTCGCTTGACTGTCAGTGTCTTGCTCGGAGGCATTACGTGCAGACACAGCTGAGGCGGACTTTGGGATGGGGGGGAGAGGACTCCGAGGCGTGGAGCCCCCAGGAGAGTCTGAGCAGTCAGGGCTGTCTGAAGTGGCGGCCTGCGATGGGAAGGTAAAATTGAATGAAAGGGTGTCAACGTCGAAAGGTTGATATTAATGCTGAATGAGATTCTGCATCATGCTCAGTAAGTGAGACTGCAGGTACTTTGCAAGGTCAGGGAACTGTGTTGCGCGAGTTGCACAATAAGCAGAGATAACTGGTTTGCAACAATATGGAGCGGTGCTGAAAAGTGGATGTGAGCTGCATCATCAACCCTGGACAAACATCTGTTGGTCCATACGTACCGAAGACTGGGGCAGCTGATTAAACGGGTGCGCGCAAGTTTGATGACCGGTTCAGATGCAGAATAGATCACAGGGCTGAGATAGAGTATGCAAAGCATACCTCTGCGTTGAAGGGAGAACTAGGAAAAAGCTGCATACCTCCTATTTGAATAGTTTTAGGTTACTCAATTGAAGCTGCAGACATGTTTGGAATAGGCAATCTACCCGCCGCTTGAGTCAAGTCAGGCCGAAACCACATCTCAGAAAGCTGATTGAAATCCAGAAGCTCTTGACTTGTGTGTCCTCATCGACAGTTGCCACATCTTTTCAGCAGACCAAAATCCTGCGCAATGATCCTGAAGTCCGCTTTCTGGTTCAACTGCAATCAGCAAAGCCCTTCACACCATGCAGATCTCTTATTCAAAGCGAGAGAAATTTGTATGGAAATCAAACTTTCGGGCAATGCTTGTTGAGTGGCATTCCCTCATGCTTTTTGATGCAAACCCTCAGTTTTGTGGGGTTGTTTCAAATTTCAGCTCTGCTTCCACACTGATGTGGTGCAAGGCGAAGCTATCAAGCTGGAATCCTATATATTTCAGGAGTTTCAAACATGCCCCAATGTAAGTTCATCTGAACCCCATGTCAGAACTGCGGCGCCAGGATCTTGTATTCTTGAGATCGAGCGAGACATAACACACACTCACTCAGTTCGTGAATTGTGTCATTGATCCAAAGTGGAGGCCAAGTTACAGGGTACTTACCACGGACTCTGCAAAGCGCTTGTGCTTCTGTCCCTTTTGCCCCTTCTGCCCCTTCTGTCCCTTGTGCCCCTGCTGCTTGCAGGCCCTCGAACATGGTGCAGCTGGCCTTAGCTTGACCTGGCAGGTGTCCTCCCGCCGCTGGTCCCCCTCGCCCTCGACGGGGCTGGACACCGTGCAACCCATAGCTTATCAGAAAAACTATGTACAGACAGGAAGAGCTGGCTGACGCTACTGCTTCAGCAAACAGCTGGCTCCCTCCTGAACCCCTCAACCGACAGGGGCAGCTCAAAACGGTCTTTGAGTCTTACAGCCGGTGCAGCTGAAGTATTCCATAACCATTTGGATTGCAGGTTTAAAAGTGGCGCAGGGGCAAGCTCCTCTCGCCAGGACAGTCTTCGTGCTTCCTCCAATGAACTCAGCAACTTAGAAGCCTTACGTGCAACCAAAGCCCTCTTCAAACCTCGCTAGCTGGTAAGACAGCCAGAGCGTCAGAGCTCGAATCCAATGGCAGCTCAGTGAACCAGAACACAATGCCCGCCCCTTAGCTCGCATTTTCTGCTGAGCGCATGAATGACGGCCCCCATGAATTCGACGCCTTGATATTTTGCCCCTGCCGTACAAACGCATGGAAATCCACAGCCCTAAAATACCTAGACCCGGGCCCGTACACTGACAGGGTTGTGAAATGCCAGCCTGCAAATGTATCCTCCACCTTGCATTTCCTGGCGCACTGCGCAGGCGTCCTTCTTCCTCCACTTTTGTCAGACTCAACACGCGCGACCTACGGTCCACCTGCCCAGATATCTGCAGCTTGGATTTCTAGATTCTTAACATGTACGGTATGCCGTATAAAGCGGTAGGTGGCCATATTCGACGGATCATCATCCGGCTCTTTGTTCTATTGCCCAGTAGGTCAAATTTCACTTCAATATGGGAGACCGTATCGGCATCGAAATTGCCAATCTAAAAAGGGTCTCTGCTAAAGAAAGAACGACTCCGACTACGGTAGTCTTGACTCTTGAGTCTGCATGCATGGGGCCCGGGGCCGGGGCGGCAGCTCCAGCCTCCGAGCCCTCGAGACTCGCGAGATTGACCAACAGCCTAACAAACAAACCCAATCGTAACCGCCCCGATCCTATCGGCGTGTTAAGGGGCACCTTGTTTAGTCTCCCATAGCTTCTATACCGTTCGATTGAGGCTGAATCATACTCTCGGTTGATCGAGGGCCTCCACGTCTGCATCAGAAGGTGATGAAGGTCGATCGACGGCTGACAGTTGTTCCGGGTAGGTAGTAGCGGCTATGACGTTTTACTTGAAATGGATGAGATCATTGCCGTACCTTACGTGGAGAAGTAAGTGGGCGGTTGTAGATATGACATTGAATGATCGTATGAGATGTCGGACGCATGTGCAATTTTTATACTATAAGCTACTGGAACAAGCCTACAAAAGCGCCGACATTTGATGCCGCAATCATTTCTAATTTAGCTAATGGCTTGCCATGTCAAGACTTAACAAAGATATCTAGGATTCTCCATCTAATGGAAATTGACCAGTTATATGGGCCGAACTCCAAGTCGGATAATTAAGCTTCCAGGATCTTATGGAGTCTTGTGTCATCTGCGCGGCTGCTAATATAAGGGTCCTATTGCAAAACCCCCTTCGTGAGCCCGGACCCGAAAATCTCAACCGAACCAGAGGGCCGACAATCATTGATGATGTGAATCGTATTTTGTACGTCATGATCCGTGCACGCTTCTTCCATGGACCATTACCGCTTCGTGGAGTGACCCCGACTCCCGAGTCGAGACCAAAGACCAACCATGTTTCACCCCATGGTAATGGTTACGGTATGGTGTGGCACGGCATTCTGATTCTTTGGCTTTTGTTCAGCAGCAGCACCTGCACCTCCCTCATCGCTCACCTTCCAGCATTTTTTTAATGGCTTTCCTAGGCGACGCCTTTCGAGAGGTCTCGTCCAGAGCCGGGGAAGCGCTGCACACCCTCGAAGCTGCCGTACACAATGAATGGGAGCGGGTTAGCGTCAAGGACTGCTGCGGTCGAGCTGAGGCGGCCGCTTTGACACTTGAGAGTTTGATCAGGGAGTGGCCTGGGCAGGGGGACGGGGACGCACAAATTGGCGCAAATGCACCTGGTGATGTATGGGCGGAAGAGGACGAGTTACGGTCAGAGAATTTTGCGGGGGAGAGCCTGGGCAGAGTTTTAAGGGAGCGGTTTGGCAGGCGGGATTGCGCACCGCTCTTTGCGCATGTGGGCCCGTTGCCTCGTCTTCTGGGTGGTGCAAAATCCTCCAGGCTAGATGCGCGGGGTGGTGTGAAAACCCCAGAGGGTGATGTGAAAAGGTCCAAGGGTGGTGCGAACACCTCCAAGGGTGGTGCAAAAAGCCCGGAGGGCGATGCAGGGGTGGTGCGGTTTTTTGGCAAGGCCCGTAAACAGAATCTGGACGAATCTTCCACCAAAGTGTCGAACAGCGACGTGCACCGGACGTCGCCGTTGGCGGCGTTGAGTTGGGTGCCCGCCTTCTTAGGGGGGGGCGCTGGGGCTGGAAAAAGCGAAGACGGAGGGAAGGAGAGTAGCTGGGTGGAGGAAGTGGGGACCGAGAGGCGGCGGTATTTTCCGCGGGTGAACGGTGATGGCAGTGTGGAGTTGGCGATGGAGGTTTTGGTGGATAAGCGGCCGCTTGCGCAGAAGCTGACGGACGGGTTTAGGGACAAGTTCTTCCCTGTCGGATACCCTGAAAGGTAGGACCATTTCGAACACCGCACATAGTAGTTAGGAGCAGTTCCGCCATGCATTCTGGGGGCGAGTCGCGTGTGTTGCTTCAGGAGACTCCTTATCATCATCGTCACAAAGGCGTTATATAATATACATGTTTTTCCAATTATGGGGAGGGTGTTTTGAAGATTGTGAGCTTCTTTGTACCACCGTATGGGAAAAGAAAGACGCGTGATATCAAAGAACTCGGACATGAATGCTGCAATTGCTCCGTACAGTGTTGCGGAGGGCTACCAGGTGTATTCGCAGTGGCGGGCAGTGCAGCACTTCACGAGTGCCATCCTGGGGGTACTCTCCACCCAGGTAAATCACACCCCCCCCCCGACCAAAACTTGCACACTCCTTCCAGAAGGCGAATGTGGGCATCATGCGTCGACATCATCTCAGTCATTTTTCTTTGCCGCTGGCCCGCAGCCTTACTTCCCCGGCGCAGAAGACATTTGTCGGTTTGGGTGCTCATGTAAGGCGCAACCAACAGATTCTCGTGACCTCACTTCTGCTTGAACCGCAGGAAGACCCCGGCAGTCTTTGGAAGCTTTGGTGCTGACGTCACCCTCAATCGGTCCTTTTTGTCGCCGGCCTGTGCCCGACCCCAGCTCAGGCCACCGTCGTCAGCAGGGTGCTCAAGGAAGGAACCGTCGAAGAATCTTGTAACCATGATTGACTCGCAAAAACATTTTGAAAGCTTCATTGCTGATGTCGCTTGCTGACGTTACCCGCAGTCGGTCCTCTTCGCGGCCGGCCTGCGCCCGACTCCGGCTCAGGCCACCGTCGTCAGCTGGGTGCTCAAGGAGGGGATGCAGCACGTGGGGAAGCTGGTGGGCAGCAGCATGGGCCCCCGCATGGACGCGGACCCGAAGAAGTGGCGCATCATCGCTGACGTCATGTATGACGTCGGCGCCGCGTGCGAGATCGTGTCGCCGCTCGTGCCGAGCTACTTCCTGCCAGTCGCGGGGGCGGCCAACCTAGCCAAGGTGGGGGTTTTGGCCGAGGGGGTTGAGAGCTTGGAGTGCGTTCCAAACAGACGTTGATTTGTCAGGACGATAACCGGATCTCGAATGGTCTCAGAACCCAAGTCAGTGTGCCCAGTGCTACCATTGGTCAAGAGAGCCTCGAGACAATAGCGGGTTTGGAAGATGTCTTTTCAGATGGAAGAACACGATGTCCATCAACAAGAAGACCTTGACAGTGAGCTCAGCATGTGAGCAGTTCTGAAAACCGCTTTCTTGGCGTTTGGAAAAGGATACTCGTGCTGTATGGAAGGGCCTAGTCTTCTGAGGGGTGATCACAAGTGGCTTTTCTGTAGTTCCTGACCTGACGCTATACCTTCCTGCCGAGCGTGCGGATTTTCTTCAGAGTCTCTCTTCCTCGCTCAATTCTCACCGACTCTACTCCCTTGGCCCCCCAGTCCAATGTTCTCATAGGTGGTTTATTCTTTGGAATGCACCACCCTTATGAGCTCCATGGAGCACTCATCTTTCATATTGTCGCTTCTCCTTTTCTCAAGTACTGTTTCTGTTCAATTGATTTCTCTCTCCCCTCCTGGCCGCCCGCTCGACCCATCGTTCTTCTTTACACCAGGCACCCTCTTCGTCCTTCCGAGTCCTCCCTCTCTCCCTTCTGAGCAGATTCTTGCTATTACCGAGCACCGTTTCTCTTCCACCAATCACCCTGCCTCATTTCTAGGGGCTCGCCTTCCCTGCCCATCTCTGGTTTTTCACCAGGCACCTTTTGTGTCATCCCAAACGCTTATTTTCTCCAAACGGGCACTTTCTTTGTTCCACCAAGCACTGTTCTCTTTCAACCGATCGCTCATTCTTTTCCTCAGGTGATTACGGGCCTGGCCGCCCGCTTGCCTCTATTATCTCGCAAGGCACCTTTTTGTTCCGTCCCAAGCACTTCCTTCCTTCTCCCGAGCACTTTTTTCTCCTTGCCAAGCACTTAAACAAGTGCCAATGGCGCTTTTCATAGTCTCCACTCTTTTGATCTCGAGTTCTCATCTCCGGGGAAGGAAGAATATAAACATTGACCCTCTTTTTCTGTTCAGGGGATCGCTCTCCTGGCCGCCCGCTCCACCCGCCTCCCCATCTACACCGCATTCGCGAAGCACGGGAACGTGGGCGATTTGTACGCTAAGGGAGAGGCCCTTTCGGTGCTGTCCAACGTGGCGGGAATGTGGCTCGGCATCCAGCTCGCGTCCGGGATCTGCGCTTCTCCACAGGGCAAGGTATGGGACTCCGCTGCAATCCCCTTTTCTTTGTAGATTTGGCTTTCTTCTGCCTCTGAAGTAAGAACGCGATTGGGCGATCTGTACGCCAAGGGAGAGGCGCATTCGGCCCTCTCCTACGTGGCGGGAATGTGGCTCGGCATCCAGCTTGCATCTGGGATCTGCGCTTCTCCACAGGGCAAGGTACGGGATCCCGCAACCCCTTTCTTGTGAGTTTGGCATTTTTATGCTTTTCAAGTTAGAAACCGTTGTCGGCGACTTGTATGCCAAGGGAAAGGCGCTTCTGGCGCAGTCCAAAGTGGCAGATGACTCGGGATTGATCTGCGCCTCCTCAAAGGGCAAGGGATGGATAATGTATCCCGTATTTCGTAGGTTTTGTATGTGCGGCACTTGTATCCTACCCCGTGCCCCACGATCGCAAACTTCTCTCCCCCTCTCTGAGTCTGCCCTAACAGCAATAGTTCTGAGTCCGTTCCCCCTTGCGCAGCTGCTTCCCGTTTTCCTTTACTCTTCTACTATGCTCGGACATTTTTCGCCACTGTTCCCGTTCTCGAGAGTCTCTAGAAGTCGCTCTCAACCATTTTTAGAAAAGCGCACCCCGATTCCCAAGTTTGCTCGGCTCTCTCTCTGACGCAATACCCCGAACCCGCCCCTCGCCGGCGCTCCTCAGCTGCTCGCGTTATCTTTCCTTTCCGGGTTCGCTACAAACCATCTTGACAACCCCCTCTCCATAGTCGCTATAATTGCGCTGACCCGTTATTCCTAACCCGCGCTCCTTCCCGTCCCGCCATTCCGCAGCTGCTCGCGTTTCCGTTCCTCTCCGGGCTCCACGTGTTTTGCGTTGCCCAGGAGATGCGCGCCGCGCCCATGAACTTCCTGAACGCGCAGAGGACCGCACTGCTCGTCGAGGACTTCGTCAAGCACGGCGTCGTGCGCTCCCCGCCCGAGGTGAGAGATCCGCCCGGATCTTGCGTGTTAAGACAAGTTTCCAAGATTGTTTGTCTGGCTCGTCATCAGTACTGTTTGTTCTCTTTGAGAAGAATGTTTCTTCGTCAAGCACGGCGTCGTCCGCTCCCCGCCCGAGGTAAAGTGCCGCTCCAATGTCGCGTATCGACAAGTCCTAAAATAAAATTCTTTCTCGTCATAATTACTGTCGTTTTCTTGAAAACGCAAGTCTCCTTTCGTGGCGGATTTGGCAGTTAATGTTGCTTACGTTTTGGCGTAAACGCAGGTTGTCTTTTTGAGCTTCAATTGGTTCACGTCTCGCTGCTAGTGTGCATAATATGCTCTCGCCTCCTGTGATTACTCTCCCTCGTTTGCCATTCTTTGCTTCTTTCTTTCTTCTCCTCTATGAGTTGCTTCGTCGGACGTGAAAGTGCTCTGATGCTCTCTGACAAAACCATTCTACTCTGAACGGTCGCTACACTGTCCTACTTCCTCGCTACGTCCTTCTAGGCAAGCATAGGCACTGCAATAGAGGGAATCCTGTGCTTTTAGAACCCTGTGCTTTTCTCGTTTTTGAATTTTAAGGTCCTCGCTGTCAGTATGCCCTCATTTGTTGGTCACAAGCTTTCAGCTTCTTTATATGCCGCCTCTCTGCCCTCTTGGTCAGTCTTGCGCCACTTCCCAAACAACGTGCTATCCCGCTCATCTACCCTCGTGTGGTACATCTCCACTCGCAATCGGTTCCCTCTCGTCCGTCGTCTTACGTGATTCTACCAGATCGGTGTTTCTTAGGCCTCAGATTGGCAGCCGCATGAAAGCAGAGGGAGTGCGGTGATTAAGGGCGCCGTAAGGCTGCCACAGTAACGAACCCTTGACTTTGATACACTCGAGCAGAAAGTCAGGTACACCCACGCCAACATACTGAAGGATAGGAATAAGACCAGACGACGAAGACGGAGTGAAGCAGTCCGATCTACTTCTCACAGTTGCGCTACCACGAGATTCAATCCGACTTCGATACATTTTAGCAGAAAGCCAGGTGCAGCTAGCGCAGAACGCTGCAAGACAAGTCGAAATTGAAAGTCGCAGACTAAGTGAAGCACTCCTTACTCCTTTTAAACAGTTGCGCTACCGCGAGAAGCTGCTCCTTCCCCCGGGCATCAACCTGGCGGCCGGGGGCGTCCGCGTTGGGGCTCCGCTCCGTACGGCCGTCCGCAGTCCGAAAGACTTCGCGAAGCTGCGGCAGACGTTCAAGAACGAGCGCTTTCTGCTGAATGTGAATGGGGACGGGCACGCGGACATGGTGCTGCACCGGGATGCGACCGGGGAAGACGCTCTCAAGTGAGCTGTTGTTTGGATGTTTGCGATTAATTTTGATTCAAAACGTTGGATGTACTTCGGTTTCGGAATCAAGAGGTTGTGCTTCAGCCGTCAGCTGGCAAACTTTTCAGTTGATTTCAGTCATGTCTTGAAAGCCGACACATGCGAAAGCAGAGCGCTACAGTGGTGGAGTGCTCAAACAATGGACCGACGGACAGATTCTGTACTGAGAGCGGTCGAGAGAAGTTCTGGAAGACGGCTTCAGAGGTCACGACCACCTTTTCGATCCACCGAACACGTGGTCGGAGGTTGATTTCCCGGTTAGAGAAGCTCCTAAGTAGAGAGCGCCTTACATTTCGAATCCTCAGGAAGTTGCCTCGTGCTAAGGCCTTTTTAGGGCATCTTACATCCTTTTGTCAAACCCCTTTCAAAGCAGTGCAAGCTTTAACGAGCACCCGGACCATCTGGAGTGGTCGCGCTTCACTGACCGGTTTTGTTTTGTCTCGTGGAACTTCCATCACGGCTTATCGTTGTGTCGTTATTGATCCTTGAAAGTTTCTCGAAAGGTTGGTCGTTCCGTTGTACGCAGAGGCTGGTTTCTGGCGGGTTGTTTTGCAAAACGCCGCTCAGAAGGGCCAGACAGCGAATGACCCACCAACTGGTTAAAGCTGCATACAAAACGAAACTGAGCCATCAAAAGCATAAACAATTCCTCACATAACGCGAGCTGATTCTCTCCGCAGGGGCTGGCTGCTGGCGGCTTATGTTGCGGATGACGCTCAAAAGGGCGAGAAGGCAAGCGACCCGACGGGTCAGGTGAAAACGGCGTACAAAAAGCTAGGATCGAAGCTGCCGTCGTTCCTGGACGAGGTCAAGCGGCAGGGGTGGCAGACGAAGCAGTTCCACGAGGGTGCGGGGAAGAGGGCAGTGTGGTAGAAGCCCGGGTCTGAAGGGAGTGGATTCCGAGCAACCTGCCACTCTTAGAGGATATAAGTCAAGTCTGGTGTCGAGTGGGAGCATATGAGATTGGCTGACCCTAGGACTTGCACGTTGCCTGGAAGAAGCTGTAAGGAAGGGGTGACAAGGTGGACGGTCCTTAGGAGCGAGAGCGAGTGGGCGGTCGCTCGGTCATGACGGTCGTGTATACAGCAGGCTGACTGATAGCAAGGAGGGCTGCGGACTTGTGGGCGAGAGTACGTTCTGTGGCACCGCTGTAAGGCACGCTTTTCTGCACACTGTAGTGCTCGCCCTTTGGAATGTTCAAGAGTCCTAGCATCATTGCGCATGAATCACGATGAAGTTGCATAACGGGCGGCCCTTACGATGTATAGGGCCCGGCGGTGGCCGCACTGCTGACATGCTCACAAAGGTCAAGAAACTGACGGTCCACTGAAGCACATGGCTAGGTGCACACGGCTGCTACCATAATGCATGAAGAGCTTGCAGAAAAACTGGTTTTTTCGATGCCAAACCAGTGCATGCTTGGAACTCTGTAAGGTTGCAGTGCCACGCGCGTGCCATGTCACGTTTGCCAGGCGGTGCATGGTATAAGCAGTTCAATGTGTGTATATAGCTGACGGTACACATGCGGTTTATATAAGCATGTTCGTCCTCAAATGCACTGGGCCAGCTAGCTTACAAGCCATGCATGCAACCTGAATTGCATGCAGCCTAGCTGCTGGCACATGATGGTGCTACTCTAGCTATAGCTCCGCACACCCGACAGATTCGAGAATTCCAGTTGTATCTCTTTGGCGAACATTTTGCGCGCCGTCCACTGGATTGTCAACCCACGCTAGCTCAGTGTCAATCTTAGCTGCAAAATATTCACTGAATGCAAGGGGCTACATGCATTGCAACAAATGATTGTCAACAACATGCAGAACAAGTGACAAAGCGCCTTCATAATTACAAGCAATGAAGCAACAAGGCAATCTAAAGCAGGATTGTGTGGCCAGATCTTGCAAGGGAGTATAACATCAAATGAGTAGATCCAAAAAGAGAAGACCTTTTCAAAGAACCAGCATGGATGATGAACAATAACAAAGAGCAATTCAGAACAATCTTTACAAAGGTCCAGCAGATTCATGTCAGACCTGGCAATGAATGTTCCCTGCCAATTGTCTTATCTAATGCACCGTCGATATGTACAAACAATCTGACCTATGGAGCCAATGGTAACTGCGGTGCAAATCAACACGCTCTCAGCAAATATGAGCCACCTGCCTTGCTTTTTCCCAATGCAGGTCACTATTCAAGCGGCTAACATCACAAAGACAACCTGCGTTTATTGCAGATCAATCCTCCATGCGGTGCCCCAAGAAAGCTTTTCCCACTAACTTACAACATAAGGACTCTCCGCTGCTGTAGTCCTTCTATCCACCCGTTCTCCACCAACACGGTCCTTTGTCCAGCCAGATTTGAGCCAGCTTAGCTCAGATTCTGGACATCCATCCCCCTAGCACATTCCCGGCGCCCCAACTATCTCCGCACAAAGCTGAGCACCACCAATTTACCACCTTCCTTCCTCACGCCCTGCCATTACCAGTCAGCACCATCCCCGTCTGGTTATGACAAGCTCCACCTGAGGAGCTTGCAAGCACTTCCAGCCACCCCCAATCCTGTCTTACTGCTACCAGTCGTCGCTGAACCCAATCCTGCTCTCGGGCTCCGCCTCTGGCTCCTCCATCTCCTCTTCCATCTCCATCTCTAGTTGCAGCTGCGGCTGCTCCTGAGAGATGATCAACTTCAGCCCCCTGATGTCCAGATCTGACAAACTCCGGACAACTGAATCTGCCGCGCTCAGCTCCCAGACCATGTGTCTACTTGCGACCGAGATCGCCTTCATCCCAGCGTCATGCGCCGCCTCCGTGCACGCGTTCACACTCCCGATCACAACACACCTTGACGGTATCCTACCAATTGCCTGCGCGGCGTAAGAGTACATCTCCGGGTCAGGCTTTCCCCGGGCGACATCGTCTGGCGCGATGATTGCGTCGAAGTACTCTTGCAGCCCTAGTTGCGAGAGGCCCTGCTCGACGTACTCGCGGGGCCTCGTCGTGCTGAGCGCCATGGGTGCGCCATACTTCTTGACGGTGTCAAGGAAGTGCCGCACGCCGGGCATGAGGGTGAACTGGCCCCCGGCAGCCTCTTGGAAAAGGTGCTCTTGCCGCCGCGCAATTCGTCGGACCTGCAGAACAAGATTGTCAAGGTCAGCAATGAAGGACACCCCCTGAACAGTCAGGATTTTATCAGACCAGGGCGTCTGTTGCCAGCGTTTCGTTCCTAGATGATGCGAAGGGTCACCTTTTGGGCGCATGTACTCATTACATATAAATTGCACTTAACGCAGGGCAGGAGGAGAAGCATCTGTGCAAAAAGGGAATCTGTCTGCTCAGATCCGTTCCACTTCAAAGACTTGGAAAATGGTAAACCTCATACCACAGAAGCCTAAGACTCGAGAGCCCTTAGGAAGGCGAATGTGACTTGAAGAGCTGGTAGAACCCTAAGAGATGGATAAGGTGCGACCAAAGGAAATTGATATTCTTTACAGTGCAGCAAACTTGCACCAAGACCAACAAGACAACATATTATGCGTGCTTCCATGCTTGCAGTTAGACCTTATAAAACATGATCAGCATTGACCTTGTAGAAACACCCTCCCCAAAATTGAAGAGGTATGATCAGAAGTTTGCAGGACAGGACTCTTGTAGAATGCAGCAGATAAGAAGCGAGAGGTGAAAGTAGGCGCAAATATGGGCTGTGTAACATGTGTACAGGCAACAAAGTTGCAGACCAGAAGACAGAGACGCACTACGGTAGATGGATGTATACCGAAGTACCATCAAGCAAGTCCAGCAACCAGCAGTTTCTGCATTTGAAATGCTTCTCTGAAAAACTGCGACCTCAAGAGAGAACGAAGTAGCTGCTGAAGCAACACCAAAACCTAGACCAGAAACCAGATTTCAAGCCTGTTTCGAGCCAAAAGACGCTGTAGCAGGTGTCTTCCAGGCTTCCAGGCAAAAACTGGATGCAATCGCCGATTGCTCTGCACGTTTGGGGGACACTCGAACCAACTTGCAACCGTGACCTGCTCTGCAGCAAGATAAGTTCACAAATAACCAGAGACATTTTGATTTGACCCACAATCTTCCCAAACCTTCTGCATATCATAGAAAGTTTAACACCTTCTCTCGTCACATCCCAGCCTTCTGAGCATCTTCAAGAGCTCTTCAAAAGTGGATCCAACCCTCCAACCCTCCTCCCCTTCTTCAGCAGCTTCAAGAGCTCGTAAACACACATCCAAGAAGCTTGACTCACCTGCATGGGGTCCCGCGTCCAGCAAAGCACCTCCGCAACCACCTGCTCTGTCTTCATCCCTTCAGCTCTCCTCAAGAGCCAAGCAGGGGGTAGAGACCGCCCCTCCTCTTCTGCAAGCGCCTCCCACACCTGCCTCTCAATCTTTGGATCCTCATCCACCAGGACTCCCTCCCAATCAAGAATGATCCCAAACCAACCCACGCCAAACCTCTCCAGCCTCAACAAGGGGTTCTGCAGCCACTTGTCGTCTGCTCTGTTCTCCTCAACCACAGGAAAGACGAGCTGCTCTGTCGACCAGCCCCGTGCAATCTTGTTAGCCGCAAACGCCTCTTCCAATTCTCCCGCGAGAGCAACGACCTTTGCTCCGCGCTTTCCTTGGGGCCGTCCTATTTGGGGCCGTCCTATTTGGAATGCTTCGGCCTGCTGAATGAGGGTGCTAGACGATGCAAGTTTGGAGGAGAGTTGCCTCGCCTCTAAGGATGCGGGGCGAGCACTATAATGGGGGAAGACTACACTCCTGCTAGAAGCGCTGGTGCCAACAACATGGGGCTTGGAGCAAGACTTGGATCTCTGCAGAGCAAGGCCGCCCGCTAAAGAGTGCCCCGCCAGAGCCGACCCCGCCGCAGTTGCCTCCATATCTAGAAGATGCAGATACCCTCAAGAAGAGGTGAATACCTTTTCACAAACACAATACCTGTAAGATTGACTGCAAAAGCTATGCACCTGGCGCTGCTCGCTTCTGGCTGACGTCGCCCCTCCTAAAACAAGCAAACCTTCTTCTATGCTGCTTTTATCCACCCCCCACAAACATCCACCGACACGATGAAGGAAAACGGATGTAGAACAAGATATAAAGCCCTTTTGACCCTCTTCTGACGAGCTCTTCTACCTACGTGCAGGGCAACCCCTCGCGCCCGACAAGGTCTAGGAAGGCGCCCTGCACAGCTGCTAGAATTTGAAATTTGTCTGTTGACCTCCGACACAGATCGAGATTTTTCCAGCACGAGCGCACACTTTCGAAAATCGATTATGTTTTACGCGTCGGTCCGCGTTCCTGCACCTCCAGGCGCTTCTGCATTCGACGTGTGCAGCTTTTCGAACCATCGACGAAGGCGTCCCTCGTGCGGCCGGTCGCTCCACGTGAGTCGCCACGTCCATGAACCGGACCGATGGCATCGGTCAACGCCCGGTACGCACCTGTGCAACGTGTCAAGGTGCTATTCCTCAGCTGCACGTCAGACTCTGGACATGGTTAACATGTGCCGTTAGCGTTGTCGTTATGCATAACCCGACCAGCTGCCATGCGACCAATGGCCGGAGCAATGGCACCGTGACTTTCACGGGACATTTAGGGTGCAACTTGGGGGTAGGTCGGATACCGCGGCAATACCGCGGTACTCCGGCGGTAAACCTGCCCAATACCGACCGGTTCAAACCAATTTCCACCTCCGGCCGCCCGGTCTGAACGAGGTTTCACCTAGGTAGGACCTAGGTACGGACTTGGCCGTTCGACCCATGTCACCGAGCCGCACCAGCATGAACCCCGGTACCTAGCCATGTATACCAAAAAAGGGTACCTTGCAACATGGTACCATACCGCCGTACGAACTAAATTATGCAATGATCGCAACCGTCGATCAGCAACGGAGTTTTGTGTCGATTGGCTGTCAAAGCAAGGAGTGATCACATGGCAATTTCGAATTGTACCGTACGGAGATGACCCGAAAGGGCCCCGTCGGAGATTCGTTGGGCGCTGCGGGGACAGCTTCTGAGTTCGCTCGTTGCTGGCTACTCTTAGGACAAGGCCTTCTCCTTTCAATTAGAAGGGGAAGAAGCCAAGTTTATGAGTGAGGAGACTTTGGAGCTATGGCGCTTTTACACTAAGATTTAAAAGCAAGCGCAATGGCTTCCACAAACCTATATATAGGAGAGAGTTCCTAAGACTTTTGGGTCCATCCGAATAGGGTTTTCGATTGTCCAGCCATAGGGTTGATTGCCATGCAAAGGAGAACTCCGCCTAAGGTGTTCTGGTTAGGTTTTGGGTGTATAAACGATATTTATTTATTGCACTAAAAATACCTAGGCCCTCAGGTTATACCTAGGTATTCGTGAAATTTTCCTAGGTGTTACCTGGGTGCTAGCACAATATTCTTACCCGTGACCTCCGGCCGGCGGTTTTGAAACCTCCGCAAAACTGGCCGAAAACCGGCGACGGACCGGCGAAAACTAGGTAATACCTGGGTCGTACCGGGGAGTTTTCGGACCATACCTAGGTACCGAAGTCGCCCCATAAATGTCCCGTGTTCTTCCATCATGCATTGAACAGAAAGCACCATGTCACCATGTCACACGAAACGTCCTGATTCATGAACCTGATGAATGCTTTTGAATGTCGTTTCAATTCAGCTGGACACCAGCCTAGTGCTTGAACCCGATATTGGAAATGAAAGAAAATGCCAGCTGCACGGTACATTGAGGGCGAGCTTGACTATCGCAAGTCCATCATGGTGGCCGGCAATAGCTTGGGATCAAACGTCTCTGTTGGTGCAGGATGCAGCCATATTCGTGACCCAAAGGCCTAGTACGGTACTCACAAATGCACAATTTGTGTGCACAACTCTGGATATTCATGCAGAACAACTCCCAGTAAGTACCGAGCACCTAAGCCATGAGCACCCATACCGATGCCCTGGTACATTCTTTAAGCAGCAGTGTTTGCCAAGCCCGCCATATCAGAGCATCTTGGGGTGTTTCAACACATACAAACACGAGGCTTGAGCAGCAAGCTCCGGTTCACAATTGGTCGATCATAGCTGTTCATAACGTGCTTCCTTTCTCGTCTTCCATGTATCCAAAAGTGTCCACAAGCTCCCTACACAACGACATCTGATTCCAATCCGTGTGTTCGTTCCGTTCTCTCCATCATCGACTCACTCTCCGTCTTTCCCGCTCCTGCCCGCGTCGCTGTTCCTCCCGCACTAGATACTGAGCGGTTCCTTCCCGCAAGTGCGGCCTGATATTCAGCTTATCTAGGAGCTCTTCTAAAGGGGGCAAGCCGCCAATGCCACTACTAGGATCGAATGTCCGCTCTCGAACCGCTTCTCGGGGGGTGTCCTTTAGCCCGGCTGCAAAGCATGGGAAAGGTTGGTTTGCTAACGTCACTCAAGTATCTACGCACTCTTTGATCAGATTGCCATTGCTGAGACTTTCGCCAGCGTTGATTAAAAATCTCTTTTAAGATGAGTCTGATAGCTGAAGTGAACGGGTGAGCGGACACAACAGGCTTGCTTGAGCATTGTGCTGCTTTTTCGACTCATACTCTAGCCCGGAAGGGCTCCAATTCCAAATCTCCCCCAGTTTTACGTGATTGGGCGACATAGATCGTGGACAGCATTGCAGAGCAAAGTTACCAGGGGGGTGGAAAGACCATGAAACGGTGATCGCGCGCCGTGCAGGAGCCATAAAAATGGTCCAAACGAACAGAGCTCCCGGGATGCAGCTGACCTGTCGTGGGTTTGGGTTTTTTCCGATCTGCTAACCCAGCTGGCCGCGGCACCAGGATGTCTTCTCCGGTCCGGTCACCAGATGCTACTATTCGCTCCCTAACCGTCCGGAACTTCTGGTTTCTCTCTGCGTCAACTGCGCCGGGAATTGGTTCCCTTGTAGCCTTCCATGTTACCGCGCATGGTTCCCTGGAACACAACGAAGAAGTGTCAGAAGCGTCGTTTCCCATGGGACGGAATTTGATGGTGTGAAAGCAGATGAATAATCAGCCTTGAAGGACAGTCGGAGTCAGTTGAGGGGTGTTGTAAGAAACTGCTTGATCCGGAAACCACTACTGACATGCCGTTTGCGCACATCCGAAAGTACAAATCAAATCATGCAGTAACTCCACGCCTTAGCCCACGGAATCTCTGCGAGTTGCAAAACTTCCTCTCATTACCACAGCACCGCATCCCCGCAGCAATCGATCACTTGAGGAACGGCTGCAAAGGCTTGATTCAAACGGAGGCTACGAGAAAAGCTCACCCCGTGACCGGATGCAGTAACCGTACATTCGACACGTGGACCGGCATCTCGATCAGCACCTTCTGCCCCGGTCTCCCTTCCTGGGGCTTCATGTGCTTTACAACCTGGCAGAGAGGGCGTAAAAGCGTCAGCATAAGGGGCGGACAGAACCAGGCGATGAGACAGGAAACGAGGTTCTGCGCCTGGATGCAAGCCAAGAAGGCTGCAAAGTGACTGGCTGAGCGATGGAGTCAAAGAGGAGTAATGATACTGACAAAGACATCAGGTATGGGAACAAGAACTCTTAAACTCGATTGCTATATATTTGACGCTGATTTTGCAAACAAGTCAAGCGAGAACGAGTTCTTTACAAGCAAGCTACAGCGGAGTGGTGGCTGCTCTTCAGTCGTGCGGCCGATGTTGCCCCATGCGAGGAGGTATCCACGTAGCCCGGATTCAAGAAACAAAATGGGCCGTTTTTAGAGATCAAGATCGCATTTATGCGACCCCAGGGCAGATACTGAAAGCCCCACAGGACACTCTTGCTCTGTGGGTGACAAAGCTCGCCCAGAGTTTGTGATCAGGTGAAGGAATGTGTGCCCCACATCAAGGGTGGGCTTCATCAGCATCTGCACTTCAGTTGCGCACTTGCTAAATCGACTTGGACGTGTATGTCCACTGAAACTGCAACTTGAGAAAGCTCACAGACATTCAGAACATTGTCCAAAACCAAACAACATTTCCAGAAAGCTTAGAATCTCCAGATAAGTTTTCTCCAAAAAGGCTTTAAGTGGAAGCTTTTGAAGACTTCCTTTAAAACGCCCACTGGCAGATATTTAGGGCCAGCTCAGAGTGTCTGCAAACCAACCCCCTGAGGACCTAAGCGGATCTCTACAGCCCCCAGGAGTCACATACTGGTGCTCAATATCATCACACTTCCTGTATTTAGAACGACTTACCAGGTTCTGCCCTTCGACCAAGACGCGGTTCTTCTCTCGGAAAACTCTGATCACTGTGCCTTGCTGCCCTTTGTCTTTCCCCGTCATGATGCGCACCTGCATCAGGGGTAAATAGTTTCAGGTTAAAAACTCTGTTTATGGTCTCCTACCTGAGAAACACATCAAATGTGAGAGTTGGAGGTAATCACTTCCTATAATCACATACCACCACCGTGCAGGACGAGACAAAGTAAAGCTGAACTGCCATGCTTGGGAAGGATGAGCATTGTCACTGCAACCATAATCGGCATCCAATAAGCGAAGCTTAGCACCACATGATTAAAAACACACTGTCCAGAGCGACACATCTTTCTGCGACGGACTGATTTGTTTGCCGACAGATTGGCTTCTCCACTTTCAGAAGGAATTAAGATCACCAGTCCTCCGCCAGTGGTGGCCATAATGTGCTTCACCTCGTTTAAGAACCCTGACAACCACCCTTTTCTGACAACCACCCTCGTCAAAAGAAGGTGTCAGCACACTTCAAGTAAACAAGAGCATACTATGCGGGCAACATAACGCCTGACCGGATGCCAAAGAGCATACGGGCTCACTCTATCTCCCCGCAGGATTTTCCACCGCTTGAACATTTCTTGCAGGCCCCGGCCCCTCATCTTTTCGTTCCAGTTGGAAACGGAAGCTCCTTTTGACCCTCTGTATGCAGAGACCGTTGAGTGGGAGGCTCGGAAGATACTTGTGGCCGAGGAAAGCTGACCTCAGACAAAATCGTTCCTCCCTGATTTTCTTTTGCTCAAGCCCCAAGGAGTTGTGCAACTTGCAAAATCTAATCTGCGCCAACCACCATGCTGGCGCAGCTTGAGTCAAGGCCGGAGACGATCTGGCGGAACGCCGGAACCGGCAGCCTGCAGGCAGCGCAGGCTGCAGCACTCGCGAGTACTGAACGGCGTTCCGTCGCAAACCTGCTTCCGCCGTTCGTCGACTTGCATATTTACCAACCAAGCGGAACTCTCCGTGCAGCGCCCCTTCCACCTGCCTTCCCTGGGCCTCACTGGCACAAAACGGACAAAGCAGCCGAACTTTTCTTCGGAAAAATGTTGCGGACGCAGGTTGTCAGGGATCGGACCTCGAACGGCCGACGAGCGACCGGGCATCGCCTGTGACACTAGGGTTACGTGGCAAGCCTGTGACGGTTTGTTAGGGTCGCGCAACCCTACTGTGACTGAACTACGATTAGGGTTAATACTAACGGCGCAGGCATATTCATAGGGTTTTAGTGTTGAAACGGCTCCCCGGTAGCTGTAACATGTGCCCGGTGATTGAAATCGTACGATGTCCGCGTCCGTTTTTCCGAAGAAAAGTTCGGCTGCTTTGTGCCTCTTGCCTCACTGGCCCTCAGGCTCCAGCCTTGAAGTTGAGGCTTGAGCTTGAACTTAAAGCCTTCAGGAGCTCACTTGTGATCTGTATCCACCATCCACAAGGTTCTACAGATCACGCACTGCCTTCCCTGTGTTGGTCAGGGAGCACTGCAAGGGGTATTGCCGGCCAGTTCTCTCTTGTCAACGTCAGAAAGTTCAAAGTGGCCAAGTGCCTGACCAACTTGTGCGGTTGGTCGAAGGTACAGACCAGATCGTCAAGCGAAGTCACCGGTGCCAAGGAAAAGTATATAAGTCACGAGGGACAACAAGCAGTAGGCGCTGTGAACACACAGGGAACACGAACGAGGCAAGTCAGAATCATTTGGAGACTCTCGTTACTGCTTCTAGATAAAAAGGCATAGTTTACGCTGAAGCTCATGCCGACCCTTGTTCTTGGGGCCGCCAAGGCCGATCTTAGATTACCGGAAGGCCAAAAGGGGGCGAGTCAAAAGCCACCAGACACAGATCTTGTTGGCCTGATATGTGTAATCTTTAGCGCCCTAAGCTCATGGGACTGGAAAACAATAGGGGATGCAATGTGCGAGGACATTGAGTGGAACTACGCGGCGAGTGGAGTGAACGCAGGGGAGGTGAGAGCGGTTGCAAAACTGGAGAGACGCCTCACACTTTTGGTGCTTATGCAGGGCCGCTTATGCATAGCCGCTTATGTACACGAGCTGCAGCTATGGCACATTTGCCGGGCCACTTGTCGTATGCCGCTGCGAAATGCAGGCGCGCTTTTCAAGGTCCTGAGGGAAGGGTGTCGTTCCTCTCAAGGTCTTGAGGTTTAGGTTTGTCGCTGTTGAAAGTCTGGGCTGCAGAATTAGTAGCCTGGTTATGACTTATTCAGGGTCACTCCCTTTTAAGGGCCTGCGGTGCTGGGTATTTGTGTCGCCTTAAACAGATTGATTGTAGAGGTGGTTCCTTGTTTCCCCGTTGTTGACTGACCATATATGGAAGGGCCAACGCGGACTTCTGGCCAGCGTTCAAGGACCCTTCTACATTCTGAAGTCAACTGTCTATCCCTTGGATAACAGCCAAGGGGGCTTGCAAGGGCTTGCTGGGAGTCTGCTTGCTCCTTTCATCCGTCCTGATTGCAGTGTTCTTCCTGGGATATTAGGACTTTGAACATCTCTGAACATCTCTGAACATCTGTCTTTCTCTTTCTGGCAGGCGCCCCTGTTTGGGACTAAGCAAGGGAGAAAGGCCACGCTGAAGCACCTGCAACGCATCCAAAAGCTGTTGGACGTCAAGGAGGCGAAGATGGACTGGGTGAGGACCACATACTCGATCCACTTGCCTCCCTTCAAACGGGGGGCTTGTTGCCCCCTCAGTTCTCTCCGCCCGCTCACTCCTCTCATCGTGCCAGGTATGGAGTGACGTGGCTCCCTCCTGGGCAGGGAGCGTTTGTCCACTAAAAATGGATCAATGCGGAGTGATTATCAAAGGCCCCCATGGGGGCCGTTCGGAGAGTTCGTCAGGTTTCTTTGGCAGGAGCAGTTGGTAATTCCTTCTTATCCAAGAGGCTGCCTTTGAGTGTGAGTGTAGAGAAGACTGCCCCTGCTTTTTAAAAAGAAGAAGCAGGTCGTCCAAAATTGAAGTAGAAGATCGAGTGTTGCTGCTCTCGTTCTCACCAGGACATGCATCCAGCCTTTATATCTCCTGTCTTCGGTTCCATCCTGCTTGATTTATCTGCCGTTAATGTGCTCCAGCCCTTTGCCCGAAAGCTCAACATGGTGCTTTTTTGCCTGGGAGAGAATAAACAAACGTAGTTGAAAATTGTTGTTTGTAGCGACTGGCTTCAATCTGTGTACCTAATCCAAACTATGTCTATTAAGGCTTTGAGAAGATGTTCCGCTGAGCCAGTCAATCTGAAATGCAACGAGGTTACTTTTTGAGGTCAGCTCAGGCGGGTTCTGGGGAGCTCTGGAAGGCGACTTCGTGTACGAGCGCTGCGGAGGGCTTGTGTGATGCTGGATATTTGAAGCTTGCGAAAATGTCCGGCTGACTAAGTCATCGTGCTTTGATGCAGGACCATGTGAGTGTGTACGGGCATAGGGTATCCTGCCAAGGCTTCGAGAAAGCTTTGGTAAGTTAAGCGGTGGTCGGCTCGGTCGGATTTTTTATGTTACGTCACCTTTCCTTGACACCAGAGATTGCGGTTAGCAACCGAACGAGTCGTTGCCACTTTTGCAAAGTTCAAGCCTATTTCGAGACCCGCAGTGAGCCATTGCAGATTGCATGTGAGAATCTATAGGGCCGTCAAGGACGCAGAGTCTTTTCCTTTCAACTATTTTTAGTTCTGACGGTGCCAACAGGCCGCCATCAGGAAGTTGGTTCTGAACGCACTTAGTTTGTGACGCTCTTCTCCTCCTGTTTGCACCCGAGATGTCTGGACCTTGCTTTTTCGAAGTTCAAGGCAGCTTCAAAGCGGCTTTCAAGCAGACATGCTCGCTTCACCCCTGCCTGACAAGTTTCACCGCTGCTTTTTTCCAAAATAGCAACTGCTTTGTTGGCACGATAAAGTTTGCGACTGCCCCAGAGCGGGTCGCTATCGCTATCTCCTGTCGAACTCTCATTGCACCCCATCTTGACTACCCTCTACCGGGTAGTCAAGATAGTCACTGTTGTCTATGCCGATCTGCCGCATCGGATGTCACACACTTGCTGACGGATAGGCTTATAATAGTATAGGAATGGATTGTTACTATTATCGAGTGACGTGTATCTCTGCTCTTTGTAACGCTTCAAGCTTTGCGGAAATCTCCAGGACTCGTTTGGTTATCTAACTGCAACCTCCAACGCATCGGAACCGTGATTAGAGTAACGGAAACTGGTGGAGGTTCTTCCTGGGCACGATCTGCATTCAAAAGTGTCATCAAACTTGTTCTAGAGAACGTCGATCCTGAAAATCCAAATGGAGAGTGTTGGTTTCACAACTACTCTACTCATCCGAGAGGTCTGCTGCTCCTTGTCTGCAGGTGCGCGCGACTGGCAAGACGTACGAAACAGATCTCGGGTACATCTTTTTCTTCGAGGAGAACAAGATGAGCAAAGTGTACATATATGCAAAGGATGCGAAGGGGATCAACGAGGCGTTTACAAAAGCCGCAAGTGGTTGGTCCGGCGTTTGATTCATTGCTAAAAAAAAGCAGTTTTAAAAAGAAGAACAAAGATTATGTGCCATAGAGGGTGCTGAGCGACTCCTCCTGGCTTGTCCGGATAAGCCGGGATGGCAATTTCGTCGCGGAAACAGCATGCAGATTCTTTTGTGCAATAATCCTCCACAATTGCAGCCGCTTAGGAATAGACACGGGGGTAATGATTGAGTCAGGTTAGAGAGAACAGCGCAGTAGCAGGCAAGCAGGACGGTGTCAGTTCGAGTACAGGGAGGCTGGTTGTCGGACACTGAGAAGGACGGTTTCGAATCGTAGTTACAGAATCTGTTCAACTGGCGCAGCGGGTATTTGTACGGTCAGAGCAAATGCAAGAAGTTACATTGCTTCGTGGTTCAGAGTTGCATTACTTGAAATTTTGGGTTCGATCATGCATGTGCATCAGTGTCATGGTTTAAGCCCCATGCATATGTTCTGCTTTAACCAGGCATGCACCAATCTTTCAACTTTAGTTACGGCCAGGTTGTGTTGGATATCACTTCGTCAATTTCCGACATCATTTGAAGCTCATGCAACGTGCCGCACGTGGTCACACAATGCAATCGACACAGTACTCGGAGTAGCCATTGCTTGAATTGGGTATATGATGGTAAAATTTGCACTGCATCGCATGCTCGCATTTCTACTTGAAAATTAAGCGTGCATGACTCGTCGAGGCTCACTGAATTCTCTTGAATAAGCTTATATATATGAGCCCGTTCCGACCCAATCAACTTAGTTCGCATGCCATGTGTGCACTGCATGCCAGTCACCCTGATCCCCGTTCAATCGACGGTCGGCCCAAGATCATTCACGTTGCATGCATTTTATATAGGCCCGCGCGCGCGCGGCAACGGTGGGCATGAGGTAAGTAGGTTTCCAAACGTACGTGCTTCGGCCATGCATACGTTCCTTCAACCTTCCCTCGATCGTCCATGTAACAAATTTCATATCATCATGCATGTGGACCTGCACGTACGCAAGCAGTAAGACGAGTGTGAGTCCACGGCGCGCTCGTGCCTCTCATGTTCGTTCTTACAGACTGCGAATCAAACAAAAGTCGGGCGGCGGCCGTTTTGCCTGGCCGCCTTCTTGACAGTGTGGGAACCGTGATGGTATCCCAGTCTCCCTGAACACCGTTAACGGCTTACATCGACGTGCTATCATGTCGAGTTCCTTCAAGGTCAAACTGATGCAGGTCGAGTCTCGTCGCGATCCTGGTGGAGACCGAACCGGTCAGAAAGGCGCGCGAGAAGACGTGCCAGGCGTTGACGGATCGATTGGACCGTCACATAATTCCTCGTTGAGCTGAAAGGTCTGCGATGAATTGTAGACGAGCCCTAGACGAGATTGAACGGACAGGAGAAAAGCTGCCGCACTGGAAACAAGTCGAAGATGCGCAGCCGCAATTGAAGGACGGAAAACTCAAGGGCCGGTACGCTGAGAATGTTTGAAAGACCGGGAAGTCCAGAACTTCTAGTTGCAGAGTTGAGAAACTCGACACTAGAAAACTCCGGAAGCAGGATAGTATCGGAAGTTCAGGACACAGCAAAGAGATCAGATGCCTCGTTGCACAAGCCGGTACTCAATAGCAGTGCTGATGCCAACGTTGCTGAGCTGGAGGTCCGGCCCACAGGCTTTCGCATACGCACATGCTGCGGATCCCATCCCTAACGATCATCTTTCGAATCTTCGTCGAACAAGTGTGCAGCATTCGATCCTCAATGGCAGAAGTCCTTTCTGGTCAGCCTGCTTTTCAAGCTCTTTGCGATGATGCGGGATCGCCCTAGCGTAATAAACAGCCCAACGTTGTGAGCAGCTTCTTGGCGAGCTCTGCTGCGGAGCCACGAAAACTTGCAGCCGCCTAAGCTTCATCGATAGCCGAGATTATCGTACCAAGCAGCCTCGTCTCGCAATTTAAGATCATTCCGGAAAGCATTCACCAATTTTCAGGAATTCGTGAATTCGATTGAAGCGGGTTCTTTGTTCGACTCCAAGCTGTGCATGACAGCCGGTACGAACTCCTCTCAGCCGTTCGCTTGCTGGGTCGAGGATGTATTTGCGGATTGCCTAGAATTTGCAGCCGGTTCCGCGTTGCTCTTTCATTCTCCTACGCGAACCCAAGTGAACGAGTCACCCGGCCGTGGAATTGGTCACCAGATCTCACGACGAGGCCGCGCACCCGCGCTCCCTTTGATAAGCTAGCGTAGGTCTCGAAACTGAATCCGAGGTTTGACAAAGCCTTTTACGCAGCAGCGGATTCCAACAGCTCAACAGACATAGCCTGATCCGAACCTCGGATTCAGAAGCGCTTTCGAATCCCACTCAGTCCTGACTAAGACACGTTTCCAAGTCCACAATTGGATCTGAAATGATTGATTCAGATGGATTATGTGGGATAGAACGAGTCCGAACAGCCTGAGAGTGCGAATTCGAAATGAATAAGGTCCAAAATAAAACCGCCACAGTTTGGTCCAGTGAGTCCGGAACGTGTCCGAATCCCATCCAGACCTGTCTGAACTGCAATTTCGTTCTGAAGTTCGGAATTGATCTGGGCAGAGCTTTTTAAACAGTGGATCATAACGGGATTGTTGCGATTTGCGGGTCTGTAACTTAAGCGAAGAAAACTACTCCATGTATTTGAATTGACCGGCAAATCATACATCTCCACATCGCACGGATTGTAACCGTCGTAAAACAATCAAAAGTTTTCGTATTCAGGAATTGAAGGTATGGTACACGTGTTCAAAGTTTTCCGGCTGACAACAAAGCCGCACTGATTACGCATCACAACTAACCATCCCCCACCCAAGTTAAACACTCTACGACGTCTGGAGTATACATCTACCCCAGATATTTCACTCATACAGTCTCCGTTCATCCAAAACTGGGAGCTATAACCAAACCCAAAACTGCCCCCCAAATCTCGCCAACCCGCAACACAATCCGCTGCACTAACCCAAACCAAATGTGGAGAAAAAACAACTTCCACACTACTACAAAACTTTTCCTTCGCATTCGAGCGCGTCTCTTTTCCCAGCTCACACAACACATTCCCAACTCCCTGCTGTGCCCACTTCGTGCATCCCCCAATCCCCGCTCAAACCGCCGCGACATCCCCACTCTATCTGGACAGGAACCTCGCTTGCGGGCGCACTTCCGCAATATTCCCAGCCAGCGCAGACTCTGTCACTGCAACGTTGTCAATGTACGCGCCCCACCAAGCGTCCTTGGTTTCCCGACTCTCGAACTTGAGCGTCGACGTGTTCTCCTTGGCGGTGAACTCGAACGTCACGGTCTTCCAGTCGATGTCGGTCGCGGCCCGCCCCGGGGTAGTCTCCAGGTTCTTGGTGACGTCAGCGACCGTGACGGTGAAGGGCCGGGTCTGACCGACCCGGCTGTTACCCAGACCGGGGTGACCCGCCATGGCGAAGCGGACGGTGTACGTCTGCCCGGGGACGGTGTCAAAGGTCTGCGGGAAAAAGAGAATGTTCAAGGACCTAGCTGGGCTTGACACTGAAAGGGTGGACGGTGTACCGTTTGTTGGCGACGGTGTCGAAATTCTGCGGGAGAAAAGAACATAGCTGGGCTTCACACTGCGAGTGTGCAGTGTACTGGCCGTTCGGGACGGTGTCAAGTCGGCGGGAAGAGGAAATGCAGGAAAGAAAGATCTGGCTCCTAACCATGGAGAAGAAGACACCTGTTTCTCAAATAGGGGTACGTGCGGAGAAGAAGACCCCTGTCTCTGAAGCAGAGATGCAGAACAGAAGATCACCCGAAGCATGAATCCATCCGCCGCCTAAGTCAGTAAGTGGGCGCTCACGACCTGCTCAATCGCACCGGGCCCGTTGCCATTGACGAACCACGGATGGGACACCTGTCTCTCAACAAGAGGTGCTAAAATAAGAATCAGCATACGGAGTGGCGTGGATCCAGCCAGTAAGTGGGCTCTTACCTGCTCAATTGCACCGGGCCCGTCGCCATTGACGAACCGCAAATGGGACCCGTCTCTCAACTAGAGGTGCGGAGAAGAAGAGAGTGGATCCAGCGCTCATGCAAGTCACTTAGTGGGCTCTCACCTGCTCAATTGCGCCGGGCCCATCTGTCTCTCAACTAGGGGTGCGGACAAAACTATTTACCATACGGAGAGGCGTGGATCCAGCGATTAAAGTTAGTTAGTGGGCGCTCACCTGCTCAATTGCGCCGGGCCCATTGCCGTTGAGGTCAATGAAGTAGTCCCCAGACTGGCCGAAGCCCCAAGGCCCGCGGTGGATGAGATCCACGCTGTCCTTGGTGATGTCCCAGTGGGTGATGTGACTTTGGCCCTTTAAGATCACTTTGTAGTCCTGCGACTGGTCAGCGATGGTGGTGGTCACCTCCTCAAAGTCGCCGTTCTCTGCAAGAAGCGGGAGTGCGCGTTGGGTCTTTTTGAAGGGCGCGAGTAGGCGCGCGCCTGGAAGCGAGAGTGTGGAAGGCGCGCGCGCGCGCGCTCATCAAAAAGTCCCGCGCCCGTGGAGCTGAAGGTCCGAGGGGGGCACCGCAAAGAGCGCGGGTGGAGAGCGGACAGTCAGGACGAACAGCGTTACAAGGAAGGAATCACGAATTGTACCTAAACCATGGATGGTGACAAGCGGGGGATAGCCAAGCAAAGCGTGGATGCTTATGAACTGGCGGTGAGCTGGAACCGATCCTGGTACCAAATTTGGGACTACCAGATTTTGAAGAAGGTTCGATAGCCGTTGTTGAAACCTGAGTCTGATAAGCAGCCTGCTTAGGAGCCAGATAATCCTGTGGACGTGCGCTCGAGTAGACAAGGGATACTTGCATTTGACTAGATACAAACCGTCTACCTACGAACCAGACGCACACTGCTCAAGTGGGATTAGCTAGGACTGTGACGTAAGCGAGTGACATCAACAGATCTGGATGCAGTGTGAGTGTCTCCCACAAAGTAGATGAAAGCCGGACAGACCCACAGAAATTTCTGGCCCTTAAATCATAGATGATTATGGGCTGTTTAGAAAGTTCATTCATCGAACAGGAAACCACTTTCTAAACAGCCCATAATCATCTATGATTAACTTGGGCGCTATCGAACAATTTTGACGCCCGGATGACTGTTCGCTAACCCGAGACTCAGATCTGAGAAACAACCTGCTTAGCAGGCAAAACCTCCTGTGACCGTGTGTGCCAAGTGCAAGCCTTATGCGTTCAAAAGAGACACGAGCTGCGTCATCAATGCAGCAAATTCCGGAACTGATGTGAACAGACTCACTGATGAGGTTGCGGGGTGGGGGATTCGGCACACCACCTGCATAGTTGGAAGAGACGCAAATGAGAAATCGAAGTGAGCGTAGGCAAGACAAGCGCTGCTTCCGTGAAAACACGGGATGTTTTTTCTCTGCCGATCATAACTTGCAGGATCATGCCCCTCTTATGATTCATGTTCGTTTCTCTCTTCTCTTTCCTTGAAGCACAGCAGCTGGGCAACCGCCTCCCTAACCCGTACGTGCAGAGATGAAAACACTGTTGCGCCACAGAAGTATAATATCTGACCATTATTGTTGTTCACAGGAAGGTTTGGCTGCCAACCAGGTTCGCTAACCCATCTTCAGTCTGCTTCCTTGACCAATAACCGCGTTATAGCCATGTTAGAAACCTGGTCACAGTGCTCGAGTCTGGTCCTTGGACGGTTGACCAGCTCCAAACCAGCCCGTAACCAACTATGGTTAACCGCCAAAAATCATTGTGGTTACAGACAGCCAAATTGCCCTCCCCAAGCTAGAGCCGGCTCACCCTTGACGATCCTGATGTTGTCGATGCAAGCTCCGTACGGCGACTTGTTCGCATAAGGCGTCTCGAACTTGATGGTCGAGACCGACTCTTGCGCCGTGAAGACGAACGTGTTGTCCTTCCAGTCAATGGGGTAAGGCAGGCCCGCCGCCTTGTTGAACGGCGACCTGGTGCTGGTGAACGGCTGGCTGACGTCGCCCACGGACACGTGGACGATGTCGGTTCCCACGTGTTCGGGGTTGGCCGCGAGGGAGAAGGTGACGGTGTAAGTGGCACCACGCTCGGTGTCAAATGACTGCGGTACATGAATGAAACGAGGTTGGGTTAGGGTCCAGGCCACTCTGAAAGGGGGAACATTGCAGTCACCGAGCTTGGTTATTCTCCAGTTAAGCGGTTTTCTAGCAAGGAGAAGCTGGTTGAAGGGCGGGTGACCAAAGATAGTTAACAGGGGAAAAGATTCCTGTGTCTCTGGTCAGAAATCGTGTAGATTGTTCAGATCCTTTTGGTCGGACAAAAGATTCAATTGAATAGCGGTTTCAGCATGAGGTTTTAACATAGATACCCGCTGGAAAACCTTCTTTTCAGTCACAAACCATGGGTCACAAGACGAGGGCGCCACTATCGCCAGTTGGAAGGTAACAATACAAGATTGAGACGTTCAAACCTGTACTTGGCAGCTAGCAAACCGAATATTCTGCCACAGCCACCCGAACAGAGTTGAGAATGGGAACAGAACACCTGGCGCACTCACTAATCTGGGTTTCCGAGAGTTAAACGAACTCAACAGCGCATTCACGTGCTCGAACTGCCGCGTTTCCAGCCGCTGAGGAATGCGCTTAACCACGCGTTAACCCAGTTTGCGTTAGCGTCTAACCTGCTCGATGCCGCCGTTCCCCCACCCGTTGACATCCACGTAGTAGTCACCGTGCGCAGCACGAATATAACCGCTGCCAATAAGCTCAACCTCGCCTTTGGTGATTTTCCAATAGGTGATGTCCTTGCTTGAGGTTCCGGCGCGGTAAGCCCCATTCTTGCACGCTGCTTTGACTGCGTCACTCTCCTCTTCGAAGTCCCAGTTCCCTGAGAGAAGGAAGTTTGAGAGACGTCAGCAAAGTTTCGGAGACGTCAGAAAAGCAGAAGTGAGCACGCTTCCGCGAAGATTAAGTTTCAACAAGGTCTCATCATTGGGGACGCCGTCTTTTGACAATGATGGAGAAGGACTTGCGGTAATTTCTGCGAAGATGAAAACGAGAACGAGAACCAGTCTGTTAAACGCGCAGTTCGTTTTGTGATCAGCGCAGCTGATCCTCCGCCAGGCTGTTTCAGGCGAATCCCTGCTGCTTGATGACAATAGCGTTTGCGCCGCTCAAAGTTAGAATGTTAATCCTCGTGGACTGAAAGGAAGGTGTCGTTAAGCATGACTACTAAGCGCGACCTCAGAATGGACACTGGTCAACATATTAGCAAGACAAATAGCAAGATTTCAACCTGGAGAATTTCAAAAGGTTTTAGCGCTCAGCGGGCCTGGTGGGAGAAGATTGGCTGACGAGCTTCTCGTTGGAAAGCGTGACCTTTCGTGATCGGTGAATGAGTCTCTGGAGTCGCGGACACTTTTCCACGCCAAAATTCTGTGCGATTTCAGAACTGCTGGTCATCATAGAGGGAATAGCGTTAGAGGAAGCAACTTTGAAGCGGCACACACCTTCTCATTGAGGACCTGTCACTCTACTTTCTGTTTATGTAGTCGTCAAAAGTGTTCAAGTAAGTGAAGCATCCGTCCTCCAAAACTCATCCGTCTTCCAAAACTCACTCAGGAGACTCTTTGTGTCTGCTGGGAGGTTGCCCGATGCATCCAGGGTGGGCCCCGCAACGGTCGGCGGGGCCACAGGCGCCGGGTTAATGGGGGCCGGGTTGACGGGCGGGTTAACCGGGATCGGCATTGGAACCGGCTCGGGGCGAGGGGGTGCCGGCGGGCAGATAACCAAGTTCTCCGGCGGGGAAACGGGCTCCGGCGGGGAAATGGGCTGCGGCGGGTACACGGGCGCCGGAATAACGGGCTGCGGCTGAGCGATCCCTGGAATTTAAAGTTGTCTAGTTAGTCAAAGTTGGCATCATGTGGACCGGAACGTTCTTCAGCAATTACAACAGCTTCATAAGTTGTTAGCTAAGGATGCGCCCGCTCGATCAGCAGCCGACAGAGCCGCTGAAGTGGGCCCCACCCGTGGCCATCTCTGTCGACGCGTGCTGACCTCATGGCTGACGAGCCTTCTGAAGCCAAAATGCTTAGGAAACACCGGGTGAAACTAATTAGTAATGAACAGCAAGTCGGGCGCCCACAACCGGCAGCAAGTGAGGGGAAGAGATTCCTGTGTGTCCTGATAGGTAGCGGGGACACCTGTGCGGGTACGTTCGCTCAACGTGAACCTTTCTAGAAGAACTTTCACGCGGATTACCGCAGCAGCCGGTTGCCAGAGAAGCGGGTGCGAATTTCACACAATAAGCAAGTCTTCAATTACTTAGAACTACCAACGTCACCAGTGAAAGCGCCCACGACATTAGCGAGAGGTCAACATTGAGGCTTTTGGGATGTGAAGATTTTAGGAGCAGACGTGTTGGAACCGTGCAATCACATCCGGTACGTACCTGTGGGTGGCGTGACCGGTGCCGGAGGCCGGACGGCTGGCTGCGTGACCGGTCTGAAGACGTAGTCAATCCCAGCGGTCAGAGGCGTGAAGGGCGCCAATCCGGTTCCGTTCCGGTACTCCAGAGTTCCGTCCCCGATCCTGCGCCTCAGGTACTCCAGCGCCTGTTGCGCGGTCTGCGGCTCGACGGTCGCCACAACATTTCCCGAGGGGTCGGTGATGCGTACCACCTGACCGGTAGCCTTCGCCGCGCCGTTTGTCGGACCTGCGGCGACGTGAATTGGGCGCGGTTAAGGTCACAGTTCGAGCAACTGGGCACTTTCAACTTTTCGCTGAGCGTCCAAGTGCCCACTAGTTTTTGAAAATTCGAATGTGGCCCAAATGGAACACCGATAAATTGGCCGCTGGATTTCCCCTGGAAGCTGACATGCAAGTCTACGGGGAATGACTTTCAGTGACTATTTTAAGATAGAAATCTGATTTGCAAAGTTGCACTTGCGAGAACGCTCGGAGGTATTGTGCTCTCAGGAAGATGAACAGAAAGACCTGCCAGGTTTCATCTACAACTTATTCTGCAATCAAGCGTTTATCGGCAGAGTAACCGGATCAATGAAGGAAGAGGCTACTAGGGGAGCTACGCCAAGGCAACTTGGGCAGCATCTTCTGAGTCACGCATCCTCGAAACTTCTTCTCGACTACAAAATGATGGGACCCGTGAAGCATCCGACGCTCGACACCATCCACAAATCACGCGGAGAACAGAACAAATATACGATGCACAACGAGCTGTGATCGGCTCATTCTGCATCAAAGCTTCGCTGAGCAGCCACGAAAGAAACTCTTAACTTTTCCTTCTGGCGTCCGTGACTCCAATTGTTGCCAACTGCTGGATTGTGCGCATTGCTTGGGTTCAACGTACTGAGAATAGTGGAGCGGTGGCGATTTGCGCATTGTCTTTGAACATGGCTCGTAGTTTGAGGCTAGACCCAGCGAAGCGTCTTCTGACCGCCAGACTCCCCTTCTGGAAGAATGAGAATGAAACGGTAAACTCTGGGTGCAACTTTCATTCAGCAATACCCACCTGCACCGATACCGCCGGTAGGCTGCTGACCTCCACCCACGATACCGCCGGCAGGCTGCTGGCCTCCTCCAGGCACAATACCGCCTGTACCAACGGTTGCTTTCTTAGTGACGTGCGTCATCAGCAAACCGTCACATCCTCCTAAACCGACGTTACATTCTCCCAAAAGCAACGATGTAAAGCTCAACGATACTTGAGTTCACCATTGAAGTTCAGACGAGAAGACTTCGACGCGTGTTGCTCTTGCACATGGGCACACAACAGTCGTGAGGAGACCTTATAGATCCGCACTCCCGCTCATTACTTCTTTGGAGCTTCCCTTTCCTCCTCTGATCATCACAATACACATTAAAAGTCACTGCGTTTGCACGTCCACCTGCTTCTTCAATCGGTAAGCAGGCTCTGCTTCTGCTGCTAGAACATTTCGATTCACATTCGCCATCCTCAGATTTGGAAAGCAGAATATTCAAAGGACAAACGACTTACTGGGGATGCTAGGCACGAAGGTGTACACGAGCCCCGGCGAGAGGAAGGCGTTGGGGTTCACGAGCGTTCCGTTGGGGAACTGAAGCACTCCCTCGCCCATGAACGGCTTGAGCGTGGCCAGCGCCTCCGCCGCGGTCTGCGCGCGCACAATCATGGACACCCCGGCCCGGGGGTTGGTGATGCGGATCTCGGGGCTGGTCGTGGCGGGGTTACCTGCGAGCAAAACAACGCAGTGACTCTTGTCAGATGGGTGACATTCCGTAACGATCCAGATGCGAGGAAACGCAATCACACGTCAGATGGGTGACGTTTCCTGGCAAATCCAGGTTACTCTCGCCGAATCAAGGGGAGTTTGCATTTTTGAACCGCGTGGGCAGAAAGCTTGATCGGAGGGGAGTCAATCATTTGATGACTTCAGCTACAAAGACGGTCAGGCAATCACTCTGAAGATACGTGGGAGTTTACGCATCATAATGGGAGGCGGATTGGAACTCGAGAACGGGGTCGTCGGTACAATTCCAGGTTGCCAGCTACCATTCTTGAATGCAAATCCCCAAGACTTTACTGGCTGGTCCTCAAGGTATTTTCTCGTTTTTTTGATCATGAAGTCTTTGCTCGGCCTTATTCGGTGTCGTCACTTCTTGGCAGAGTAAGCAGGAAACGGCCTCCCCTGCTTGACGAGCGTTGTTTTACAACTACTTCATAGAATCGAACAAAGGAAAATCCAAAAAAGTGGCTGTGGAAAAACGTACCGGTCTGACCTCCGATGCCACCGGAAGTGCCCACCGTTCCCGTGGAGCCGCCCGACGTGAACCAGTTGAAGCTGGATGCTGCAAACCACAAGGGATCACACATGCTTAGTATTAATCTGACGCAAGAAAAGTCCTTTTGCGAGGCGATGAGATCCTGGAGAAGTCTTGCATCCGCAGAGAAAGATTCCTGTTGAAAACAAATCAAGTTCGCTGAAGGTCCAGAACGAGCTGTCAGAATACGAGGGTATCCGTCAGTCGTCGACCTGCAGTCTCGGGCCAAAGTACGCAGAAACGTACGTAGATTTAGCGAGGATGGAGCAGCTATGAAAAAAATTCATTTCGATTGAATTGGACTTCCCACGAAGAGTTGCCTTTGCGTCCACTTGTTTGAATGGACAGACCATGTTTACATTGTACCAACCCTACTCTTATCCTACTAGGTGACAAGCTGGCTCAGAAAGAAGGTCAAATTGGGTTCTGTTTCGTTATTTGAAAACTTCACGAGAAAAAAAGCAGTTTTGGTTCTAGTGGAGGGATCCGATTGCCTATTGGCAGGTACTACGGCGCCGAAGTCCTGCGTCGCCCACATGCGCGCAAGACTCTTGACTTCGAATCACCCGACCTACCTGAGAAGTGCGACTGGGCGACGAAGAAATAGTCCCTCCCGGGCAGCACCAGCTCGTTCTGCTGCAGAACGACGCCGTTACCGGCGTGAAGCACGCCCGGTCCGTAGCCCGGCCGTGTGGCCAGGATCTGGAGAATCTGGCCCACAGTCTGGAACGAAGTCACATTCACGGGCTGGCTGGGCAGCTGGATGATTTGGAACGGTCCTGCAAAACGGAAAATGAATATTTGGTTAGAAAATTAGGTTATGAACCGGGTTGGATGATTTGAAACGGTCCTAAAATCAGCGGAGTTTAGAGGTTAGAAAGCGGGTCATGAAATAGGTTGAGGATCGGGTGAAGGATGCGGTTGAGCGCTCTGGGTTCGGAGAGTCGGTCTCACCGGATATTACCAGCTGTGGGGTAATTGCACTGCACGCTTTCGAGGGGTTTACAAAAAGGAATAAACGGCACCACTACTCCACATGCCGAAAGATCAAAACTATCTCTACGAAGTACGAATGACGTTCGAAAAAGAAACGAGCTGCGCGTTTGATCCTTGTTTGTTAATAGACTCAGCTGATTCTCCAGCCGAGTCCTACCGTGATAGGGATGTAACCAGAAGCGCGTGACATAATAACAATTGGGGGTCAATTCAGAAAACAAAAGACACAAACCTGGTGCAGGATACGTAATGGAGGCAGTCTGCTGGCCGGAACCGAAGCCGCTCTGGCCGGAAGTGAAGCCGCTCTGCTGACCAGAAGTGAAGCCTTGCTGGCCGAAACCAAAACCGGTCTGCTGGCCGGAACCGAAGCCATGCTGACCGGAAGTGATTCCGGTCTGCTGGCCGGAACCAAAGCCTTGCTGGCCGGAAGTGAAATTGCCGGTCTGCTGGCCGGATCCGAAACCTTGCTGGCCGGAACCGAAGCCTTGCTGGCCGACGAAGCCCTGCTGGACGGAACCAAAGCCCTGCTGGCCGGAAGTGACGAATCCGCTGCTGCTCCCCGTAGCTACTCCCGAGCCCCATGAGTTGAAATCAGCTGTGACAGGAGAATGATACATCAGCAACTATCTCCTCGAAAGTTTCGAGCCAAACTAATTAGCAAGGCATGCGTGCGGCAAGCATGTCAAATCCGATCTGCAAAACGGGTACAATCTGGTCGAAAGAAAATGGTGATCCTTCTATGACTGTTGCAAAGTGAATCAAACCCGTCTCAAATCACGTGTTAAGTGCAGGGGGGGATGCTTTGAGGGTTAGCGCCCAACTGGGAAAACTACCGTTAGACCAATTTTACGTTTAGTAGGGCCTACACTCTTGTGATAGGGGGACCTAGGCCTTCAAGCATAACCCTTCTCAGAATGGCAATAACAAACGGAACCGCTTGTGAACCACACGAGTACCATTCTGCCAGAAAACTTCCTAGAACAATACGGGAATATGTGGGCTGACGCAAGCACTGCTCACTCTGGGTGCGGAAGAAGTACTGTCCGCCACTACTCAGGATGCTCTGTGACGTCAGCTGCGCTCCGTCGACGCCCAGGAGCACGCCCTCGCCGAACCCGAGCTGACGTAGGTAAGCCAGGGCCGAGCCGACGGTCTGCTGCGGGACGCGGATCGTCTCGATGCCGTTGGCACTCTGAACGATGATGAACGCCGCTCCTGTGAGAGCAGTGAGTGAGATTTAGATACCTCTAACTTCGATTTTTTTTGAATCCTATTCTAGATTGTTCTCCGTTCCAACACGCGCAGAGTTGCATGCCACACCAAAAGTTCCAAAATTGGAATCGAAGCCCAACAGAAGCTCGTAGAAGTTGCTGCGTTATTCCGTACAGGCTAATTGGGAAGAAGGAAAAGACAAATTGCATCCGGATTGCTGACGAAAAAAACGGAGTGGAGAGTTGCTTAGAAGGAGCTGGGGACACCGAAGGAAGTGCGGGGTGGTCAAACGAAACTGCCACTAGTTTCGACCTGTCGCGCCTGCTCACAGAAGCTCTTGTTTGTAGACGCGGGAACGTCTGAAGAATCGGGTGAACAGTCCAGACAAAACCTGTTCGATACCCTCTAATTTTGAATTGAACCAGAGCTTACGCCACCGCTTGTCTTGAGTTAGTGTCAACGGGTGCTCGACCTTTTCCTGCGGCATACGGCTGCGCGCTTTTGAACCGCAGATTCCGGGCCACTTTTTCGATCTTATACCAGATGTCTCAAGGAGAAGCGTCGTGAAGGTGCTTACCGCCTACAGCACCGCCGGTAATCACGGAACCCTCGCCGCCCTGTCCAAACTGGTTGAACTGTCCCTGGCTGAATTGACCCTGGTTGAACTGCTCCTGGTTGAATTGACCGCCTTGGTTGAATTGACCGCCTGCACATGAGGATAACCAAAGGGTATAAAGATGGAGGATTCGGAAGACTGGAGACGCAACCTCTTAGAAACGCGTAGATTAGAAACTCTCTTAAAGAGGTTGGTTAACAGGCTGGCGCAAATGACGTCTTCAAAAGCAGTGGGTTGGTGGTTTAAGGGGACGCTGAATCAGTGCGGAGGAACGGTTAAGTTGGTATTTCGGCTTGAGGCCGCCGCAACAATAGTCCTCCTTCCTTTTGCAGCGATGACCAGGAAGTTGTGGTCGCACTTAACTTCGTTCCAGACGCATCTCTGTTACCCTTCGAAGACCCATACGTAACACGAGACGCCGGTGTAAAAGTTTCGCGCTTAGTTTCCCATCAATCATTACGAATACTCACCGAAGCTTCCAAATCCAGGGGCGATCATCGGACGCGCCTGAGTAAGGGTGCCCACGCCTGACAGAAAGTGAAGGAGCAAAGTTCGAAAAACCAGTTTTTTTCCCATTTCTATTCATTCAATCGTTCACGGCTGCTTTCATTAGAGAAAGCTCAAGTGCGTCAAGCCATGGCGGTCTTGTACCAAATCCAATCAATCTGGATTCCGACCTTCTATATGTACCTGTGCAAACTCAAGGATGAGTTTGGACTTAAGAGAGGACGAGCCTGATCTGCCATAAGACGTGCTAGTATCCATGCGGCGCGCTCAACTGAAACGCAAGGTCCGAGCAGCAACCCCATAGTCAGTTTGAGCAAATTCAAGTTCGAGCTCTTACCACCATTGTTCCATCCCCCGGAAGTTGTGTTCCATCCTCCGGAAGTCGAGGAGCCAAAACCTGCACGGAAGGGGTTAAGCATCAGACTGGTTCGATCATTAGACTGGGTTAAGCATTAGACTGCGATTGGCGATAAGCCGCCTCAACCACGATTAAAGTTCATGTGATCTGTCCGCAGGTCTGACAGTTTTCAACTGGCAGTGGGGTTGGGGGAATTCTGAGTAGAAAAGTGCAAGCGTTGTTACGTCAGCAAGGGGAGAAAAGATTCGCGACATCACTCTCAACGTCCAAGCTTTCCAAGGTCTGTCAGCTTTTGGGATTGTAATGTGTGAAATTTTTTAGCTTCGCGACTGAACGCCGTGTTTATCACATCTGCAAGGCTTTTGTGAAAGTTCTGGTGTGTGTTTCTGTTGGTCTCTCACCCTCGTGATTGGGCACGACGTTAACCTTTCAAGCTACGGGATCGTAGATAGATTACGAATTTAAAGACCACTTGGAAAAGGTGGAAAGGATTTGGGATACTGAAATTACGAGATAAACGTTTCTTGATCATCATACGTTAGTGCCAACCCCGGCGAAGGAAGTGATAAAGGACCAGACCAACGTTTCATCGCCACCTTTGTTGACGAGCCGTTCTGTCAAAATCAGTAAGTACACAAGGGTTTTGGCGGCTACCCATAGTAGGTTACGGGCTGGTTCGAAGCTGGTCAACTGTCCAGAATCGAGTGGTGACCAGGTTTCTCACATGACTATGACGCGGGTATTGGTCAAGAACCAGACTGAAGATTGGTTAGCGAGCCTGGTTAGCAGCCAAATCTTTCTGTGGTAGAGCGTTAACCCACCTGAGAGGTTGCTTGAGATGTAGACATACTCCGCGCCATGGGTCAACGTAGTGCCCGGTTGCAGCAGCCCGACGCTGTTCGACGATTGGAGCGCCCCGCTGCCGAGCCCCAGGGAAAAGAAGTACTGGGAGACCTCTTCGGCCGTCTGCGCCTCCACGTGCAAGAAAGCCCCGCTGGTCGGGAGCCTCACGCGAACGACCGGCCGACCGGTTACACCTGGAAACGAGAGGTAACTTCGTATTAAACCATTGAGAAGTGGGTGTGAAACATGGCTGTTGTGGGTTGACACTCGCACCCCGGAGATGACCAAAATTTGGCGCGCGAAGAGACGTCATCTCAGATCAAAGCAAGTGTACAAGTATTAAAAGCAGAGGCCCCGGTGGTCGGGAGCCTGACACGAACGACCGGCCTACCGGTGACACCTGGGAGACGAAGATGAATGTTTGAGGTTCTTGAAATCTGCTCTCCATGTCGGCTGAGTTCTTCAAAATTGGCTCCTGATGCCGTCTGGAGTTTTTGACAATTCGCTCTCAATGTCTTTTGAGATTCTTGGAATGTCGGTTTCAGTTTGGAGTTGAAAGCTGATACGCGCACCACAAAACGGCCCGTTTGGCGCACGATGCGATACGTCCCCATCGCTAGTAGGCTGGGATTCATAAAGAGAGCGGATATCGAAGCCATTGGGCTGTTCGCTGGAGGAATTGATGTGAGCGGCGAGAACCACAATGCTTCATCCGGCAAGAAGCTGGGGCGTCGAATAGAATCATATGCTTCCCCGCCATCAAAAAACGCTCTACGTTACTACAAGAGAACCTTCGAATGTCTAAACTCTAGTCAGAGCAGATGCTTGGTTTGAACGCAGGCTCTCGCGCAGCTTGCACCTCTTTTTCGCTAACGGATACTTTTACAAATGAAACGAGGTTATCTCAAAAGCTGAAGTATAAGGATAACGTTGGCTATAAGGAGCGAAATTGCTCTTTAGTAAACTCTATACGGCACCTTTGGGATGCGGCTTAGAAGAGCAGATTGAGAGCCCACAAAAGGAGCAACCTCGATAGGAATCTTTCATCCAAGTCAAACGCATCCAACTAAAAAGCGGTCCAATCGCAGGAATCTCGAAGCAACATAGACGATCGCGTGTACTTACTCGTCAATCCTGTCGATGGGACCACCCGCCCATCAGCGCACATGTGGATGTTGATCACGTGGTGGTGCACCTGCGCAGTGCCCTCCTCATAGCTCCCAGTGGTCCAGCTGTGCGTGCCTGCATGAAAGCCACGTGGTGACATGTCAAAAACTGCAGAAAAAAGTGGTTGGCCGCAGAACGGCTTGATACGAAGCTTTACTGTGAGACTCCAAAAGTCAGTGGCTCAAAACAGCCTTGCAGTACTAAATGTGGCTCCCGGCTTGGGATGCCACGTGTCAACACAACAGGACGCGCGCAAGATGACTAACTCAACAAGCAGCCCTTGTGAGTGTGGCTCTTCAAGCAGTCTGCGTACGACCCCGGCATACGTGACAAATTCAGAGCGAATTGAGGCTCCGAACGGACGGTTCTGGCGGTACGTACCAGTGGTCGCATTGGTGTCGGTTAACGGAGCAGGAAGCGGGGTCGGGGTTGGGCGCCCGTTTCCGGCAACGGCCGGCGGCTGACCGGTGCCCGGTTGGAAGGGCCCAGGCTGGTAAACGCCCGGCTGGTAGACAGGACCCCTTTGGTTAGAAGCTTGCTGCTGGCCGCCCTGCTGGAAACCGCCCTGCTGGTAGGCGCCTTGTTGGTAGCCGCCCTGATAACCTGCATGCACAAGGTTGGGTTCAGTCCTGCGAAAACCGAGGAATCATCGCTCTACAGGTTGATTGAAATACGAGCATGAGTGAAAGAAGAGAATTCTTCAGCTTAGATTGATAACCCAGAATTCGAGCAAGTTCGACAGACATCAATCAAGCAATGCTTCTGGATTGCCAAGTTGTGTAGGAGGCCCTCTCGCAGTAAATGCGCAAGACGGCTTTGAAACATTCTTCGTTTGCAAAATGCAGGTTGGACGAAAGTATAGTTTGATCGACTTAGTGAACGGTAACATTTAGTGAACAGGAACCGAGACGGGTGGAATTGGGTAGAGGGTTAGGCCGGTGGGTACGGGTGCAGATCGGGTGATCTTTTAGATCACGATATTTGGTAATACCAAAATGCAACCCGTTCACTGAGCTTGCTGTTCACTAAACCAAAAGAACCTTAGTATTATTGTGCCACTCACCGCCGGCAACGCCCTGGCCCTGGCTCTGCCCGACGCCCAGAATATTTTCCACGGTCGGCAGGAGACCGGTGGGACGGCCGCCTGCGCACGGCAAAACCCAATCAGTGTTATTTAACGACAATTTTAGTCGGAATTAATCAAACCCGCCCGTCTTTGTCGAATGTGGCTCCTTTTGGTAAAACTCACACCAGGCGTCTCACCTCTATGACAATTTGCTCGTTTGGAATACCCTGCTTGTTTTCGTTGAGTGTGGCTCCGTTCCCTGAGCTTACCTAAAACACTTTCAATCTGACACACCGGGCTGGCATTCGTGATTCATTTGGATAAGAAACACCCCTACGCAAACAGGCTATGCTGAATTTTGAGAAGTTTGCAGAGGTGACAAAGGAAACCTGTTCATTCAAAGACTCAAATTCGACTTCCAGTGTTGCAAGAAGTCGGCAACTTACTTCGACTCATGAATGAGAAAGCCCACAAAGCAGCAATCGAGCCGAAATCAATCTCTCGACGGTAATTTCGCCGTCGAGAAAGCCGAAAACTCAAGGCATGTTGTTGCAGTCTACTTCCCACCAACGTCGGATGAAACGCATGCCTAGTTGTCCCAATTGCAGGCAGCAAGTATAAGGGCGATACTGGTCGAGTTCTTTAGGATCAGGCTCACCAAGAAAGCACGGTTGAAACCAGATTTGGCGGCTTCCAGAATGCAACAATCGGAGCGCCGACCTACCTGCCATTCCACCGGCGAAACCCTGGCCCTGGCCTTGGGCCTGGCCGTAACCCTGGATTTGGCTCTGGCCGTAACCTTGGACGTAACTCTGGCCGTAACCCTGGCTTTGACCGTAACCCTGGCCGTAACCCTGGCTTTGGCCCCGACCCGGCTGCTGGCCGACGCCGAGAATGTTCTCGACGGTTGGCAAAAGTCCTCCCTGCTGCCCACCTGCACAAGTGAAAAGCCAACCTCGATAATAGATTCTGGAAAGACGACAATCCATCACGCATTATTTCTCTAGAGAAGCGCCAATTTCAGTCGAAACATCGCTGTGATTTCCAACAGAGCAGACGGCAAAACGGTTCTTGACGTACCGATCGTCAAGTCGAACACATGTTTGAAACGTCCTGGCTCGAAGCACTGCATTCATTAGATTTTTCTGCTCGAGAAGTGTAAGTTATACTCCAGGTTGGCCGGAAGGAAAATACTTTATTCCCAACGTGAAGGTCTCGAAGCGGAGGAATCGTGGGCAAGAGTGAACAACTACACGTATTGGCCGCACAGCACAGCCTGAAATCGCTCGGGAATTGTTATAGCTTCATTCGAAAGGGAGAACTGTTGAAAGGTCGTAATTCCGCTGTCTTACCAACGCCGCCCGGAAGACCGGAACCGACGCCTCCAGGCAGCCCACCTGCACGAGCGAAAGCCCAATGAGCGACTGCGCTCGAGCGAGTCATAAGCGGACTTCAGACTGCTTCTTGCATGGAACAAATCAGATCGAACGGGTTTCAGATAAGAAAGAACATTTATCTGCAATCACGAGCCAAGGAGAAACCAGGACAGCTGTAGGCTTGGGAAGCATGATTCAGAGGTTCTTTTTCACGGGTCCGCCAGGAAATCATGAAGGGGCGCGCACGGGTCTCGCAGGAAGCAGGTAGGGACACGGAAGAAACTGATGGCGCGTGTGAAAACGGGACGTGCACCTCGAAGCCTTTTCATCGCAATCAAAAAGAGGGAGAGGATAATTCCAGATACTAACCGGCTTAAACGCTCACATTTACTTGGTGGTCATCGACGAACCTACTGATAGAGCGTTTCTAGCCAAGCAAATAAACACGTACTGGCAGTTTTCCAAAGCAGAAATAAATATTAACTCGCAACTAAAATGTACCTGCTTCGCCACCCAGCTGACCCTGCTGCCCACCAACTCCCACCACTCTTTCAACGGTGGGGAGAAGGCCCGACTGCTGGTTACCGCCATACTGGCCACCGTAACCTGCGCGCAAGCAACCGGTTTGAGACAACTCTCTCTGCTCGACATTTGGCCTTGAAAACGCGTGCTAGAGCACGAGACTGAACGACATTACTTGTTCTTATGAGTGCATACCTTCGTCAATGCTAATTCACGAAGAGCTAGGTACGAATGAAATACTAGACATTCATACACAAATCACAATCACAGAGGTACGAATTAAATACTAAACAATCATAGACTAACCATTCTGTTGCTCTCCAGGTCGCGACCCGGGGTACGACCCGGCACCTCCCGGCATGAGCCCGCCTGCAAGACAAACGCGCGTTAGCTTTTTAGGGTTTTATGGTTTTAGAATTTTTGGGGTTTTAGGGGAATAAAATAGAGAAAAAAAAGAAAAGATGGAGAGAGAGAGATAAAAGAGGAAAGGAGTTACTTTTGCGGGGACGGTGAATCTGCACTGGTGAGGGTCCATCAAAACTTACAAACTCGAAGGCAAGTTATCAGGTACCAGCCGCAAGAAATGTCCCAACTCGACTTTTGAAAGGCAGTCAAAAGGACGTAAGCCGAAAGCGTGACGTTAACGTCAGCGGTGAGTAGATCCGCATCAGGATTGTAGATTCACCTGCCATACCGCCGTGTTGACCTTGCTGTCCCCCGACGCCTACAACCCTTTCAACCGTGGGGAGAAGGCCGGACTGCTGGCCACCGCCGGACTGCTGGTTGCCGTAACCTGCGGGCAAGTTATCACGAATCGTTTCAAAAGCAACGTTATCTGCTAAGAAGTGATGCACCGTTTTGATGACAGTTTCCTAAACATGCGCACAATATTATTCGCACCAGTCTAGGCAGGAAGCTTTTCAGTGGACAAGGCGGGCTTGGGCAACCCATGTATGATCCAGCTCTTCCAAACATTGCATGTCAGCGGCAGGGGCAAGCTCTCACTCCGCAACTTTCAAAGAACAATGTGAAGTCACTAAACTAAACCGGGTAAAGTGTTTTGACTAACCTTGTTGCTGTCCTGCGCCCCCAGGGATGGCAGATCCGACACCACCCGGCAGCCCACCTGCGGGAGAGCACGCGTTCGTGAAAAGAGTGTCAAAGATTTCGCAAAAACGTCAGATCTAAAGTCGTACGACTCGGCAAACAAACTGCAGGCAAATACTGATCCTACCAGCCGTAATCGACAACGAAACACTCAGCTAGGCTCATATGAACGTACGTCAGTAGACAGGAGAACGGTTCGAGGTCAATAAAGAGCGGACCCGCCTCTGGGAAGTGATTTAGTCACCTGCCAGACCTCCCTGTCCCCCAACGCCCACCACTCTCTCGACAGTGGGGAGAAGGCCGGACTGCTGGCCACCCCCCTGCTGCTGGTTGCCATAACCTGCGTGCAAGAAGTTACGAACGGTTTGAAAACGACGTGCACATCATCTGCTCATACGAGATGGTGTAATGGAGGGTTTGAATGCAGTGTTCTTCGAGCGTGTGCTCGAGGATCTGACCTTGTGTTCTTTGAACGCGTACTTCGTTCTTATCGATTCTACTGAACAAGGCTTCTCAAAGCTGCATTCGGGCTCAGGCAAACATCGATTGAAATTCCTTCAAAGAAGCATACGAACGGCAAACAGATTTGCTGCGGAGCTTCTAGGAAAGCAACATCGACGTGTGACTATTCAGAGCCACCACCTGAAGTGGGCAAGAAGGTTACGACCATTTGTGGATCGCTCGAAGTCAGGATGTTGACACATTCAAGATAGGAGTCCACTAAAGCATAGGATATGAGTTCATAGATTAAGTCCCGAGTGTATGTAAAAGCTAACCTTGTTGCTGTCCTGCGCCTCCAGGAAGTGCTCCCCCCGGGATGGCCGACCCGACACCACCCGGCAGCCCACCTGCAAAACAAGCGCGCGTTGAGATAGTTTCAAAAGACAAGTCAGGTTTGCGAAGGGACGCATTGAAAGCTTAACCCTGAGTAGAGAAGACGTCCGGCGCGTGTTAGAACGTCCAGGAAGAAGAGTAGCGCTGTATTGCAAGCGTGAAATTACCTGCCACACCTCCCTGCTGTCCCCCGACGCCCACTACTCTCTCGACGGTGGGGAGAAGGCCGGACTGCTGGCTGCCGCCTTGCTGCTGGTTGCCGTAACCTGCGAGCAAGTCGTCACGAATCGGCTTTATCACTAAGAGGCTCATAAACGATTGGGTGAAGGAGCGTTCAACTCGGTGTCCTGAAACGCCTGCAGAATGCTTCGATTTTATCCGTTTTGGTAGGAAGTTTCATCGGGCAGGCTCCGTTCGAATAGCCACTGAGCTCTCTGACGGCACATAGAACCTTTCGCTCGCAGCTTTCACATGCCAACACCGATGTATGGGGCTACGGTCGCTAGGGGAGTAATTCGGAACCACCCGCCTTAAGTGGATGAGCAAGAGCGCAATCAGGGAGAGCTTATCATCAGGGTTTTTCCCGCATCGGTGTCCGAAATCCCTTGGCACATTCAATCGGGAGCTCACAAGAGAGACAGACTCGAGAATGGGCTCAAGATGGGTTTATTGCAGGTTCTGTCAAACCTGGCCGCCTGACCCGAGTCCGATCGACCCCGTCGCAGACCTTTTCTCGAGCCGCAGAACTTGGGCCGTTCGATGCGAGGCATGCGGATCATCGGAGGATCTAAATTCAAAGGTAAGTTTTGTGTTCGGCTCAAAGTGAACTCTGGTTAGGCGGCCAGGTTTAACCGAATGTGCAATTCCACGATTAGAACCTCTGTAAGCCCACCTTGTTGCTGCCCCACTCCTCCAGGAAGGCCTCCGGGGAGTGCTCCTCCAGGGACGGCAGACCCTGCACCAGCGGGCAGCCCACCTGCGAGAGCGCGCGCGTTGTACGACGTTTGGATGACGTGGCAGGTTTTGCGAATCCGGATGGTGAAGCCGAAAGCAAAGTGCATGCACGACACTGATCCCAAAATTTGTAACCGATTTGAGCGGAGATGATGTCGAGAGCGGAGAGCGCAGAGCGGTGAGCGGAGAGCTGGAGAGCGCAGACCGGAGAGCGGAGAGCGAGAGCGGAATAGCGCGAGAGCGAAGAGCGGAATAGCGCAGAGCGGAGAAAGGAATAGCATGTTACAAGTGTAAAATTACCTGCCAAGCCTCCCTGTCCTCCGACGCCGACCACTCTCTCAACAGTGGGGAGGAGGCCAGACTGCTGGCCACCGCCGGATTGCTGGTTGCCATAACCTGCAAGCAACGTGTCAGAATTTGTGTAGAACCGAAACCGTACCGTTTGCTCATATGAGTTTATGTGCATGATTCGATACGGGGGATATTCAGCGCGTGCTTCGTTCACTTCCATCGCTGCAGCAACCTTGTCAAAATTGCAATACAGGTCTCGGGCATACTTCTTTCTTCTGGTGACAAAACGGAAGCTTTCGCTGCGCAGCTTTCATTTAGCAACGACGATATAGTATGGGACTAGTAGTACCGCCAGAAGAGGATTCGCTAGCTTCGCAAATTGGCCATGCAATAAATCGAATAAGCAAGGGCGCTGCAGGGACTAGTAGTACCGCCAAAAGAGGATTCGCTAGCTTCGCAGATTGGCCATGCAATAAATCGAATAAGCAAGGGCAAGATCCTGGATTTCATCAGCGACAGTATGTTCTTGCACGTTCAATTCAACAAGTCATGAAGAGACGTGGCTCAGAGTAAGTGCTTAATGTAGAAACTGAGAACCAACCTTGTTGCTGTCCAGCGCCTCCAGGGAGGGCAGACCCGACACCACCCGGCAGCCCACCTGTGAGAGAGGGCGCGATGAGTAACTTACAAAGGAAATAAGGCAGCTTTGTGGGACCAGAGTCGACGAGTTAGAGAAAACTGCACGAAAGACCCAAGAGTGGCAGCCCGGAATTCCACAATCGCGAAGAGAAGGAAGATGCAGAGCAACTAGCGAGTCGTATGGACCTGTGAGTTGGAATAAAGCAGAAAGCAAAGAGTATAGACAAGCCATACTGCGGAAGGGTTTGAGCTTGAAAGATTCTACCGACTTGACGAAGATCCTGAATACCATCTTTACGCGAGAGGCCGGAAAGTAAAGTGACCAAGGTCAAGGAGACGATGCCGCACTTCAACAAATTAGCGGTTTTAGAAAACTGCGCAGCTGTTACCTGCTACACCTCCCTGCTGCCCACCAACGCCGACCACTCTTTCGACGGTGGGGAGAAGGCCGGATTGCTGCCCGTTACCACCCTGCTGGTTACCGTAACCTGCAAGCACAAAGGTACGAGCTCTTTAATTACACGGGCTCGCGTGTTTGAGAGAGCGCGCGCGTTCTGTTATCACGCTTGCGGAAACGTCTCACTATTCCGGGATTGTGCAAAAAGTGTCGATCCACTGCACAACATCCAACAATTAGCAGAATCCATTCCATTCTTTTCATCTGCATCGTTTGGTATCATGATCAGGCATGGGTTGTGAAGCTACCACTCAATGGTGAGTTCCTGAGCGGCAGTTGATTGTCCGGGATTCTTAAGAATGCGGCACTCTCGCTAGATACGAGACCAGTTGCGAAAATCAAAGTCTGACCGTACGTTCTACACCTCGAACACAAACAAGTTTCCACGAACTAACCTTGCTGTTGCCCTGCGCCTCCAGGAAGGGCGCCCCCAGGAATGGCTGAACCAACACCACCTGGCAGCCCACCTGCACGGTTGCAGGTTTTGAGCAAAGTAAAAGAAAGTCTTTTGTGACCGTAGTCATTTGAAGAGTCTGACAATGATCGGGTACCTTTTGAAAAGTGTGTTGTCCAAAGAATTAATGAAGTCGATATGCCTCTTTGGAGGACTAACAGTTGACACTCAGGGACGAAGATGGTTTTAGGCAAGCAGCTAGCTATCTAACATCTGATTTGAAACGGATACCCGATCTGATGGCCGGCAAAGATCAAGCTGTAAAAGGCGGACCTGCTCTGGGCAACGCTCACACAAACAATATGGGAAAAATCCAGAACGCCCTCAATCGAACGAACGAAGCCTACGAGAGGGTTGAATCCACAAAAAGCCGCAAAAAGAAGTAGTTTTGTCCACCCAATCAATCGATGCAATATATATGCGTTCGCTTTCACCTGCCAAGCCTCCCTGCTGCCCTTGCTGTTCCCCAACGCCCAACACTCTTTCAACGGTGGGGAGAAGGCCGGACTGCTGGCTACCGCCTTGCTGCTGGTTGCCATAACCTGCGAAAAAAACGTCACCAGCCGTTCAACACGACTCTATTTTGATTATTGTGAAAACTCCAGTTTGGCACTCGAATTCTTGGTTGCTCAACCCAGTTCCTTTGATCGCGCCCCTCGTTATATCATCAATCTTCGCGGACCATCCTCTGAAATATCACAGAACTAAATTTCGAAAGATCGAAACCAGGATATCAGACGCAGTCGCCCTGCGTCGTTTTGCAGCTCCACAAACACAATCGCTGCTTGACATTGTTGTCAAGACGAGGGCTACCAAAGCTACTGTTCATATACAATGAAGTAGTCATTGCCAGACAACTAACATCTTGTTGAGTTTTTTGAGAAGAAACATCACAAATGCAGGAGACCCAAAGAAGCCTCATAATTCTTGACGGTGGTTTTCATGCACTTCTACGTACACATACTTGCATGAGTCCATTGCTTATCGAGTACTTTACAAATCTACCTTGTTGCTGGCCCGCGCCTCCAGGAAGGGCACCCCCCGGAATGGCAGATCCGACACCTCCTGGAAGCCCACCTGCGAGAGAGCACGTTCACATAATACGAGATACACTCATTGAAACTCATTAAGCTCATTAAGCTCATTTGAAAATTCATTAAAAACTCACAGATATGTGTGCGAACTCGAGTACGATATAAAGGTCTGTGACCAGCAACAGTAAGGATTCTCGCAACGGGGTTCTAAGATCCACTAGTCCTATCTTTCTGTTCTCGACTCTTTGAATTGTCCCTCAAAGTCACCTTGGTCGCCCCCAACGCCCACCACTCTCTCGACGGTGGGGAGCAGGCCGGTAGCCGGACTACCGCCGGACTGGTTACCATAATCTGCGACCAAGAAAGCAACACCACCGTGAGCAAAGCTCGGTGTTTTTTGACTGAAAACAAAAGAGCAGGCACGTTCTCAACAACCCTTGCAGAAGCGTTCTCCAGACTGCAAACGGGCTTGCGCAAATCTCAACGACCCCCCGTGCGACCGGCAGCTGTCTCTCGCTCCGCAGCTATCTTCAGCAAGGAAGGAAGGAAGCACCTTCAGTCTTGAAACTTAAAATTCATGCATAAGGAGTAGTGTTTCCGCCTCCAAGCGAGATGAAGACCGAGGGAACCTCTGAAGACTCCCATCTTTTTTGACATGCTTCCGAGTCTGCAGGGTTTTAAGATAGGTGTTTGAGTCCGAAATCTTTCGTATAACGTGTGGTAATAAAAAACTAACCTTGTTGCTGCCCTACACCTCCAGGAAGACCTCCAGGGAGGGCTCCCCCGGGGACGGCACTCCCGACGCCACCTGGCAGCCCACCTGCACAAGAGCGCGCATTAGGCAATGTGAAAATCATCGAAGAAGTTTGGGATTGCGTTGAAGCTGGAGGGCGGGGACAAATTGACCAGATTCGTTCTGACCTACCAGCCCGCGGTTTCAGGGGACAGGACGATCAATCGACACAGAAGAAGGACCATGAGGATGCACACGCTATACCGGTGGACGCTTTACGCGTCATGGGCGGTGTCGAGTTTTGCAAGGGCACTCCAACGAGGACAAAGCCCCACACCACAAAAATCCGCAAGAACGCCGAAACAAGAATGCCTTGATTCAGATTAAGTTTTCCCCATTAATACCTTTGTCTATTCAAGCTGTTTGTTTTCAAGGGGCACACTTATTCGTTAGGCGAAAGTAAACGCAGCCCTTGCCGGGACGATGCAGCAAAATCCGCACATACGAGCACTTACCTGCAACGCCTCCGAGCCCTCCCTGCTGGCCTCCAACGCCCAGGATATTCTCCACCGTCGGAAGGAGCCCACCGGCTTGGTTTCCTGCAGCGCATAAAATGCCCTCAAAAACTGTCGCTTTCACAACCACAGCCATAGGCTACTGTAGAGCCCTTTGTGCAGAAGAACCGCTCCTCTCAAAAAGCAATAACAACCCTACTACTGCTTGCGCAGAACGACACATACGCCGCATGTTGCCCGAGATCTGGGTGCGGAATTCTTAGACGCACGTACAAGCGTTACGTCGCCAAATGTGCAGCAAACAAACGGTTCGTACAAACAAACAACGACGGGCAGCTTCTGGCGAAGATCCTCTGAACTCAACCTCAGCCAAAGTTTTCCGACCATTGGTTTGCGACTAGCCGGCAGAACGCTTACCAGGCGCTTGGGCTACTCCATAGTTCGCGTTTTGCCCATAGTAGGGATCTGTCGTCTGCTGAACCTGGCCGTTGCCGTAGGAGCTCTGGCCTTGGTAAGCACCGGGCTGCTGGGCGTAGCCTGTAGGAACGGATACGACGTTTTGTAATGTACATCAGAAAATTTGTACGTAGGGCAAAAAGCTAACACAAATACAGCTTCCGAGTCCTCACTGAAGAAGGTATAAGGAAGGAGGACGATCTGTGGTAGTCGGACAGTCTGTGGAAGTGGACGTCCCGACAAAGTAAAACAGACGAGGCGAGCTGTGTCAACGTCGCAACAAATCTGATAGAAGTCGGGGGGATTTAAAACAGCTGCCGACTGAAAGTAGACCAAGTAGACCGCAGCTGTACTATCAATTTTGACATGTGGGCAGTCGAAAAGTGAGAGGCCCAGCCAACCGCGTTCTCTCCGCTCTTTACTCGATTTGTGATCCAGCTCAGTTGCAAAAATGGCGGTACGCTTATTGACACGTGTCCTTACCTTGTTGGCCCGACTGATCCGGCTGCCCTCCGACACCAACGACGCGCTCCACGGTCGGCAGGAGCCCAGATGCCTGTCCGCCACCTGTAAACAAAGGAACGAAAAATTTTTGACAAACGGAACGGAACGGGTTTGACAATCGGAACGGAATATCTATGACAAACGGAATCGGGAACGTCTGTAACAAACGGAGAGAGAGCAACAGGGCCCCTATTGACTGGAAGACAACTACGAAGCTCGAGAGAACGGTTGACGCGATTAAAAAGCGTTCGAGAAGCTTCCTTATTTGCGAAAGTAAGTCGCGCCGCGCTGATAATCGAGGCTTAGGTGCAGAAAGTAGGCAAGGGCTCGTAGCTGGACTGTGTTTTGACTGAGTGGTACAAGAGTCACACTTTGGTTGCGTCCAAGATATTTGAAACGCTGCGTCGAAATTAACAACGTCCACAGGAAGGTATGTGCCTTACTAGCATCAGCCAAGCTGGGAATCCCTAACGCATTCACGAAGTGAACTTGCGTTAACGTGGATATAAATTCACAAAAGCGAACCTTCACCCAATCGAACCTTTCAAGGTAACGTCCTCACTTACGAACATTCATAAGTCAACAAATGGCACACAGTTGCAAGTCATCTTCGAGTCGAAACACTCTTATTCTGGCTGGACAATCAATGTTCGAATCCAGCTCAGCTTTACAGAAAAGCTGAAATTGTTTGAAAATCGTAAAGCTCTTCGTTCCTTCCTGCGCCGGACTCAACGGCAGCCAGCTATATCTTCCAAGTCACTGGTGTAAGGCTGCATGGATGAGCATAATCCGGTTCTTAAAAGCAGAGATCTGGTGCCAGCTGAACACGATGTGTGTCGATTAAGGGCGTTACCTAGGCCACCCGCCCCGGAAACTCCCGGTGCGCCGCCGACTCCAACCACTCTCTCCACGGTGGGAAGGAGCCCGGTCGCTTGCCCGCCTGCAAAATAAGCTGCCCTCGTTTGATGATGCCCTCGTTTAATGACGCAATTTCTCCTCAGCTATTCTCTCGTTTTCAGGACAGACGTTTAGCGTAGAGCAGTTGTTACGATGGCAGGGTCTCGGCTTTGCGCGAGTCAACTTTCTTGAGAGTTTCATTGACGGGTGATCAACTAAGCACAATAGGTCCACAGGGCGTCGGAGCACTTAGGATCGGATGAACTGAAGTCATGGCCGATACCTAAAGCAGGAAGTCCTTCTCAATCATACGACAATTATCAGTGGGCAATGAAGTCGACCAAATTCGTTCGTCTTTTCGGAGGCTTCTGTTTTGCATGCAAGGAAAGTACTCGAGATCGATAATAGATGCTACAGCCTCTTCAAAAACCTTCGAGTGAGCCTCGTTCACATAAGAAGCTGTCACAACACCTGGCCCATAAGTCTACAGACTTCCAGGCCAACCTTGAAGACAGGCACACAATGTCTCAGGGAGTAGCCTCTCTCTTCCAAACACCAGAACTTACCAAGTCCATTTGGAGTGGGGAGGCCTTGTGGCACTGGGCTTGAGACTGGAAGCCCCTGGGTGAACTGCTGCGGGGAAGCACCCAATTGAGGGACCGCCGGCTGCTGAGGGAGTGCTCCGAGCCCCCCGCCAAGGGGCGCGACCCCGATGCACCTGCATGCACGCACCTTTAGTTGTTAAAATCACAATCGCTGAGTCAAAACGTCACTGCGTGACAGTAAGTGAGATTCAGGAACCAACGGTGCGGCAAATGGTTGATTGGGGAAGCAGGCTTGCAGTGGGCACTGTTCACTGGCAATTGACAGTGAAGGTCTTTTTGAATGGAAGCACTCTGGTTCAAATTTGAGTTATACCAGCACACATGTGTCTTTTTGAAGCACGTCAAGCTTTTGCTTGCATCGCCTGATCGAACAGATTCCTTACTAACTGCTCCGAGTCTCAAGACAGATTAAAGCGATTCCAATCGATTGCAAACTAAGTGGCACAACCTTTGTGGTTTTCTTGCACAGAGCTTCAGACACTCTATATTTTTGTATCCAATGCAGGGCGGTTTTTATTCGACCTTCCGAATGCGGTTCCATTATAGACAAAATAGGCCCGCATGCGGTTCTATCATATATAGACATAGCTAGGAATCACTGTTCAGATCCATCAGATCGTCAGCATCCAACTGCCCTGCTCTGGATCCATGCGCGCAGGACCAAGGGGTCCCAATGGCGCTTCTCCCGGAATGCAAAAATCGCTTTGACCTTATCAAACTCAACTGGTCCCCAGCTCCTTTGGAGCCAGATCAACACCTCACCTGACTGACTTGTTAACGGGAGCCCGCTTCTCAGCTCCCCTTGACACAGTAAACGAGCGCCGGCTTGATGAGCGACCCAGCTGTGTTGGAGGAGAGACCAAACACCCGGTTAGTGCTGTTGCTGAAAAGAAAAAGGGGCCAGTTGATCCAAATTGATCACCAGCTCACCTAAGGTTCTGATGCATGCAGATGGAGATGGACTTTGGACCAGCTCGAATACGATTGTGTCGGGGGCCGGGGGGAACTTTGGGGGTGACCTCCAGGCATCTAACGTTCATCGAGGAGAGTAAAAGCACAAGGAGAAGGTTCAATTATCCGTACATGCCCACATAGCCAGGATTTAGTTCACTACATGATTGTGATAAGATCATGCCAAGGTGGTTTTCCCAAGTTGGAAAACACGGTTTGAATACAGCCCACGCTTTCTCATAGCCATGAAGCAGAGGAAGCACTCACACTACACAGCTGGCTGCAGATTTCAGCATTGGAGCCTGGCGATCGATACAGCATATCAGACAAGTACTAGACCAATCCAAGCTCATACCTTTGAAAGGACAAATACGGGGTTTGCGAAAAAAAATCCAGTGAGTCAGCCAAGGAGAATACGAGCTGGGGGAAATTTCCGGACAGCTCGCTCCAAGCAAATGGAACATCACAGATCGAAGACGCCGATACAAAGCACAGGAGTCCATTACATTGCCACCAAGCTCAAAGATCCAAGCGCGAGCTGCCACTCAACCGAAACATTCCATAGGAGTCAATTGATCACACCTGATAGTAGGCAGATCGTGACGAAGTGAAAACATACAAGATCGAGCAGAAAACCGCGGCTCACCTGTGTGGCCGGATACGCCTTGATCGCGGTGGTGCTCCCTCCAGTGGCGGCGCGCGCGCTGATGTTGCTTTGCGCGCCCGACACCGCGCTTTTTGCCGACAGGGTAGCCATGCTCATTGAGCTGGATCGAGCTCTCAGTGGATCAGTGATGACGTCAGTAATCGCGACTGCCAATGTGGTAAGGTACAAGCGCTTCTGTTGAGTCTACTGATTTGCGCGCTGCAGCTACGCCAGGGTGCGGGAGAAAGCGCAGAATCAGCTTGGTCCGACGAGTTTGGAATGCGGCGCTTTCGGAGATTATTGCGGAGCTTCTTGTCAGAATGATTCACAATATGGTCGAGCCGCCACAACTTACAACGACCATCAGACTTTGGATCAGGTGACAGGGACGTAAGACGTCGTGCTGATGTCGTTGGCAATGTTTTCAGATAGATCGCCACCATACGCATAAGCTATGGTATCTGTACTAAATGGCAGATGATCGACACATTGAATCGACCGCCAGCGGCGTTAGGCGCAAATTAACAACGACAGCAGGCTCTTGCATAAGCTATTGAAAGGACTTATTGTGGCGCATTAAGCCTACCGCGCCTTCACATCTGGCGCTCAGGATAAACATCACAATCATTCCTACTACAAGCTAGCCAGCTAGGTACTGCCGCAGTAAAGTACCGCGACTCGGACCGGCCTGCCCAACAATATGAATGCACTGTGCAGCCCGATCAGAGCAATTGCAAAGAGCCGGCCTGGGTAGTCGTCGGAAATGATGCAATGATCATTTGGCTCGAGAATATTCTGTCCGAGTCAGCCTCAGTGCTGCCCGGTGGCCGGTTGATTGAATGAGCAGCACCATTGGTTGGCGGAGGCTAGCTGGTACTCTTGGTGATGAATGTTAGTACATACTGGCATCATGCGCGCCGTGGCGTGTTGGAATCAATGCATACGGTATTATACTGTATCGGGAAGTACCACCCAGGGGCCAGTACGCCTGGGGGTGTTCAACTCCAAGCTACGGTAGTTCTCCGTATCATGTTCTGCAGCATTCAGGGTTCAAAGAATGTGATCATAAGGGTCCGCCTGTACAGACTGCCACGTGGCGACTACTCACGAGGACTCGCAAACTCGCTCGCTGACCCTAGATTTGTTGCGCCTGCATGCATGCACTAGGTAAACAGGCGACGTTGTTGCCCGAGATGAGTTTGTAGTCAAGCGGACCTGAGGGCGTGCACGTCGGTACCAGGTACATAGAACAATATACGCTATGGATATGTACAGCTTGTACTTACCTATTTCGGTAGCTAGGGTGTTTCTCAGCTGCACTGCGCAGCTCCAGAGCTGCACCTACCTGTGAGCTGGCAGCTGCTCCTAGCTCTCACACCGTAAGAGTCACAGGTCCACCGTCCTCATGCAGTTCAGGGGCAAATGGTAGTGCGATATTCTCAAACCAGGTAGGGATGCCGGTCAGGATACCATACCTTACCCTCAAAGTGGTGAGTACCTAATGGAAAGAAGAGGGAGCTCACAAGCCTGGAACCCACATTTGACAAGTGGTTGAGTTTCTCATGAAACCTTTTAAAACGGTAGGCAAGTTGGAAATTAGGCGTTTAGGTACTCCAGGTACCTGAACAACTACCAGTACAATACAACAAATCGTGAAACTGGGCCGTCAGTACCTACCTTGGTACATATTAGGAGTACCGTTCACTAGCTACCGGTAGTGCATGGCGAAGCAATTCTTGGATCGAAGCGTCACTCCGCCTTGGCCGCCGCAGGCGTGTGCCGAGCACTGCCCAGTGCCGACTCAGGGACTCAGTAAAGGCCGTACCGGTACCCAGTTGCGAAACGAGGCCGGTAGTTAAGCGGTCTAATAATTGGTTCGAGCGTCGCGGGCCGCGCGGCTCGTTCATCTCTTATCGGACGTACCGGTACCAGTCCGATGGTACCGTAAACCGACCGTACTCGAGTCTCGGAAGGAACTTACCGTACCGGTACGCACTGGTCACACAGCCAAGGCGGCCGCGCGGCCGCCAGCCTAGCCAGAGGAATTGGCGAAAGGAGCGCGGAAAAGCTTGTTAGGCGCGTCTTGCAACAGCGCTCAAGGTCGAAACTAAGAGGTGAGAGAGACTCCGTGCTCACACCAAGAAACCATGAAAACTCTGGGTGCTATAATATTACGCACCGGGACCCCTTCGAGCGGCTTCCCCCAAAGCCCAAGGACGGCCCGGAGATCCCTTATGCAAGAGGGGATTGTCGTAGCGTTTCGTTTGCAGAAGCCCACGTGTTCAAGATTTCCAGCTGCGAAGTTCTTGCGATTTCAAAGCAACTTTCGAGACAGCGCGTGCGCGCGGCTCGAGGCGTGGTCTCAAAACAGATTTGCAGTCACTACGAGAACGCCGACAGTTTGCCAGCCGCCGGGCCCCAACCCCCCTGAATTTTGAGCAGAGATTTGGGGCCAGCCGCCGGGCTAGGACCCCCCAAAAAATGGGATCAAAATTCAAAAAACTGGGGCTATACGACACTTTTTGGGCAATATACGGCCGGAAAAGCACAAAAAACTATTTCTTATTTTTCATAAGCGCGTAGCGGCTGCGAAAACCGCCGGCATATCATAGAATCCTGCATTTTTTGTTGGTTTGGACCCCGGGCCAGTTTTCCCCGGGCACAGCCGCCGGCCGCCGGACCCCTGGGCCCCTCAGCCGCCGGGCACTTTCGCCAGCCGCCGGGCCCCCACCCCGCTCCAACAAATGTCGGCGTTCTCGCAGTGGCTGTAAATGTGTTTTGAGACCACGCCCGACTTGACGGAGGCGGCTCCTGCATCATGGCTGCGGTCAAAGCAACCGTTGTGGAGGGCTCCTCATCGCCCACTAAAGCGACAGAAATCCATGCGCGCGCCACTCCCCTCTTACCAGTCCGAGCATTTGTTGACGGCTTCTGCGTGCAGCTTTTCGCACCCATTTTCGATATATGAGGTCCGCAAACTTCTGGAATATGTAAACTGAAGTCCTTAGCCATGTAGCTGGCAAGAGAACCCTTCCGAAAAACAGAGGCCGGTAAAGCAGGCCGCAAAAAGAAGCTTTTTCAAGCTTGAAAGCACACTTCAGTACATGGCGGCTTGCTAAAATCAGAGCAGACTAGACATGGCATCTTGCTCCAGAGAAGTAACCCTCTGGTTATTCTGGCCCCGTTCCGCAGCTGATTTGCCACGACAGAAAATTCCTTCACTTTGGGTAAGTCTGATTGTTGGCGGAACCCGCGCAAAACCAGTTTCCATTGAGTTCCTACGGCTCAGAAAGGAGCGTCGCTTTGGTTTGTCTTAAAACGTCATCGATCTGCAAGATGCTCCAATTAGGCACACTTGCGACCTTTGGTAAAAAAGTCGCTTCTGATCAGAGGCAACCGATCGCGGAAAGCTGAGTGACGAAGGAAAAGCCTCGTGCGAGCAGAACACACGCTGGCAAGCACAGTCTGCTCATCATAGCCCGTGGATATCCGCCAAAACTCCTCTCTCCGATCCCACAACATCGACGTCTGCATGTATAATCACGAACAGCGAAGACTTTGAAAACTTGCATGAACCCGAAGCACAGAAAAGGCTGCAGATTCATCATAGCGTGGCCCGAATCAAACGGAAGTTGACTGCTTTGAGGGGCCCGACTGGAGCTCTGGGGATATCTGAGAGCAGATGGCATGTACAATCTGAGGATTCAAGTGGCCGGAAAAAGTATGCTTTATAATCGGTGCTAGATCCCAATTGCCGTTCGGGCTTAGCACGTGGGCTGCGATAAAGTATAAAGTATATAACGTATATAAAGTATATGAAGTATAAGTATAAAGTGCCGGAATGAAACTCTTCATGCCTTGTCAGAGCGCCGGATCGCACAGGTTGACGAGAACGTCTGATCATAGCCAGATATGCAAAGAACACATTATCAAGCTTGGTGGGGAGGGATTAGTCTACTTTAGACTGAAAGCTGTTGGAGAGTTCGTTTAGCACTACTAGTCCCGCTCGAGCGAGCGGGAACAGTTCCGTGTGCTTTGTGAGGATGATGCTTCCACTAAGAGGACTCACTCAAGCGACGCTCGAGGGTTTGGGAGGAGGGGCACAGAAGGCCTCAATCCTGCTTCAAGTATATATGTGGTTAGACACAAAGGAGGAATACAAGTCTCTGGCTTCTATTCAGAATCTCCCAGTTATGGCTATATATGATGCAGCCGTTGCGAGAGTCGTCATCGCCAGTATTTGAGCGGATGTTATTTAACGTGCAAAGCGGTCCCAAGACAAAAGCCGGCTTTGAAAAGTCTTTTAGAGTAGCCTCAAGACAACCTGACTACCCAGATTGCGAAAAGGGCTGCGCAAGCGGAGTTGCATAAACACGGCCTTTGACAACCTGCGCTGACATTCCAAAAATCTTCAGACCAGGGAATCCTCTGACCACAAGCTTCAACCAACTACCGTAAGACGTGATTTACTAATACCAAATGTTTGCGCTTCACTGGATCAATATCGACAAGCTTCATCCAGCAGTCTATCCACCCGGCGCAAACCTTTGAATTCACGACGCAACGCTCTGCTGCAAAGCATTGAGTCAGATGCCCAAAGTTGACACCGATAGAATGAGATTGCCTTCCGATCGACTTAGTTACAATGGAAGCTTCTGCGGATGGTGGCATAGAAGCTACTGTAGGACTGCAAATGCCTTCGCCGCGGGCGCAGCTGCAGCGCGCGCGGGCGCAGGCAGGTCCCGCTAGATCAACATTCTGTGACTTAAGTTTGTTTTTTGCCCAGACCTAAACCCTGCCCAAATCGACGGGCCACTCTCTTGAGCCGGCTTTCTGATGAACGTCGTCACGTGGGCATAGCGATTGTGAGATCGAGTTCCTTCGCTAAAGTGCTTACGGTCCGAGCGGTCTCTTCAAGCCAGAGCTCCGTCAGGTACTGCCCATACCGACAGCTTTCTCCAGCTTTGATTTGCCAGATAGATCAGTAAGTGATTGGGGGCAGAAGTTAAACTGCATCGATCAAGGCTCAGCAACGTTGAGTGTGAAGGTTGTTGCGCGAGCAATTACGCAGGCGGCCCACATCACTTCATAGCCTGCTATCCGTTGACGGCTTGCCG